CAAGTTGAAACTTCCATCTTGAAGGTCAATTACAGCTTCTATATCTTCTTCAAAAATTGCCTCTTTCTTTGTTTCTTTAATTTTGAGCCAGGGAAATTCGACTTTATCCATGTAAGAAACTTCTTCTTGGTAATTTTTCCCGATTTTTACGAAATTACTTTCTGAAAAAGTGGCAAAACTGCCGTAGCTCAGATATCGCAAGTCGAAATGAGAGGTGTTCTTTATTGAAAACTGACACTGAACCCTATTTTCGGCGTTGAAGTTATAGAGTGAGCCAACTTCGGTTGCCCAAACTTGGTTTTTGAATGAATCTTGATTGAGACAACTTGTGGCGTTTTCGAGATAAATGCAGCTGAGGTCATTCGCGTTCATGATGCAAAAAAGATGCTCCCTTATACCAAGTTCCATGTATAGGGAAATTGGAGTGACCATGAATGCAACCACAGAAACGAGCAAAAATCTTGAATCGTCCGGATTCCACAGAAAAAGTATGAATTTCAGCAAGTAAAACATAGATAACAGCGCAAGGACGACTGTAAATGAGGTTCCAAAAACTTGCAAAAGATCATTCTTCTTCACATCAAGTCCATACGTACAGTACGCTTCCTCCGCTACTGATTTTTGATAGAGAGAGTTCGACAAGATTGCCTCCTTGCTGATTTCATCCGTCAAAATAGAGAAATTTTTCTCGATCATGTAGTCTTGAAAGATGTGAAAATCGCTCATCACTTCGTTTTCTTTGACGTTTCTTACGACGAAATTTGTAACTTTTAGTTTTTTGGCGAAGATAAACGAGCTTTTCAATCGATGATAAATCTTTTCAATATCTTTATCACCGAAAAGCTGAGAAAAGCAAGAAACCGCCTGGTTGAAAGTATCAACGTCTTCAAAGTTCAAAACAGAATTCTGTTTTGGGTCTTGAATCATTTGATGAAGATCGGACTCCCGATTCTTCCTACGACTGTTTTCAATGATTTTTTGATAATTATCAAGGTAAGACTTCGTTTCCGCTTCGATGTGAAGTAATGCTTCAAAAAGGTTTGTCGCATATCTTTCTTTTTTGAAGGTCAAAAAATTGCCCATTGAACAGATCGAAATAAATCCATGAATTTTAAATTCTTCCAAAATGCTTCCCGTGCTTTTGAAATCAGAAACATTGGTCTTTTCTTTCCAATGCTCCAAAAAGATAAAAGGAGACTTTTTCCAGTGAGGTTGAAACCGATAAATTTCCTGATCATTGAGTGTTTTGTCGGAGCATGGGTCCCAATTTTTCTTCCAACAATAACCTCTGTACTTTTCGATCGGGCTGAAGCCATTATAAAATTCAAGGGAGCCATTGTTTTTCTTCATTCGCCAACGATTCTCATACGTTTCTTTGATTAGAGAGCTAGAATTGTCGGAAGAACTTGTTTGATTTGTCAGAAGAATTTTCGCAGCGTTTGATTCAAAGCATACAATAAACGATGGTTCGAACTTGATGAGAAAAAGAGGGGTCATTTTGACGAGGGTTAGCAAAATGACTCCAACTGTAAATCGCAAGTACATTCGAATAGTTCTCAAGAGCGCGGTAAGAAGCTGTTTCAGATATTGAAGTATTGAGAGAGGGTAGATTTTAGGCGATTCTGTCGATTTTTCGCTTATTTTTTCTAGTTCAGAGGAAATCAAGGGCTTCTCGAGTCCATACGATAGAATGCTTGTTATTCGGTGCATCTCAAAATCTCCTCCGACAACGATTTCTCCAACCACATTCGCGAGAACAGGAACAACTGGACAGATAACAAACAAAAAAGCCCCTCCGATGAAGTGATCGTTGTTGAGATATTTCCTCGTTTCCAGCCATCGTCTGTCGTAAAACATCAGCGAAGACACGAGGAATAGCATTCCAGCATTTTCAATAATGCCGAATAAGGAATTAAGCCCGATGACCGTAAAACTCGACAACGATTTCATCTTTTTCGTTTCCATAAAGAATGGGATGATGGTCGCGCAGCTGGTGGTCAAATAATTCAAAATAAAAATGGCATCGATGAGCTGAAAATAAGCTCTTGGCGAAATTTGAAAAAGGCGGTCATCATAATCGAATTCCCCGATTGATGGATATGCAATTGATAAGAGAATTCTAGCGATCTGAAAAGTCATTTGAATGCTGGTTTCTGTTGACATGATGATCTTCTTGAGCTCATGTTGTCTTCGATCATATTTGATGAACTTTTTGACGGTTTTCTGATCTTCTTCCGAGAGTCGTTCAAATGTGCTGTTTTTCTCGACAATTTTCGCCAATGGTCCTCGATATTTATGGAGTTTTATCAAGTTCATTACTTCAAAAACAGGAATAATGATCGAAATAATTGGCAAAACTGCCCAAATCTGAGAATAAGAAAGGTAGTTTTCAAGGAAATAAAACGAGTTCTTGTTGAGAATCAGATACAATATTGGATTCAAGAGAATATTCAGCAGCATCGCGAAGGAAATCGCTAATAAGGGCTTTCCGAATAAAATATTCTTTATTGAATATCAGCAAAAAGCCCTGTCTTTCAAAGCAGGAGCAGAAAAATCATCATGAATCAAATAAAAACTCATCACAATATCCGTCACCAAATCCAAACTCACCATAATTATCGACCCGATCAAAACAATCATCCTTACAGCAGCGTTGACCTGAATCGTTACTGACCATTTTCCGGTTCTGAGTAAGTTTTCTCTCTCTCTGTCGACCGGAAGCATCTTGTTCTGAGTGAGAAAATCGAGGTGGCTGGAAAGATTTTGAGAAGAAGAATCGGTGAAAATGACATTTTGCCGGACATTTATGAGACAGAAGTTCTGACAGCTTCATTATTCTTATTCAAGACATGCTTTCTTTAAGGTTAACGAAGTTTTCCTGCCCACTTCCGCCTTATAGACCCCCAAACACTGAACCTTTTTAGAATCAGCAGAAAATTTAAAGTACTTTCATGGTTTGAAATTCGAAAAACTCCACTTCCGGTCGATTCTAGAGCCGGAAGTTGACGAAATTTGTGAGTGAAGGTAAAGAGTGACGTATCAGTTAAAACTGAAAAAAAATCATCAATTTATGCCTTTTTCATAATTTTTCCGGTCGCTTTGACCTCATTTAGTACTGTTTCTTCTGATATACTGATTACAGTTAATTATGGAATTTTTGGACATTTTTTGTCCCAAGATTTTCGCAAAAAAGTCCAAAAATTTGATACACGCGGCCAAAAAAAATGTCCCATCCAAATCGCTTAAAAAATTTTTTTTGAGGAAAATCTCCATCATTCTTTGTTTAATCCTTCTTCTAAAGACAAAAAATGTTTTAGGGGTACGAGATCAACCTTCAATCTTATCTTTCTCAAAGAAAAAGTAAGATTTTTAATATGAAAAAACTTCATATCTGGCAAAAAAAAACAGAAAATTTAAAAATTAGGCGCAGAAAATGTCCAAAAATTTGATACGGGCACTTTTGAAAAGTGTCCCAAGAAAACCCCTTAAGGGGGTAGAAACAGCTTTTTTCCAAAAAAGCCGATTTTTGACCGGCGCTACAGAGAAGAGAATCTTATATTTTCAAATTTTCTCTTCAGGTTTAGATAGATACATCTTAGATCTAGGAGCATCTCTATCGAAAGTTTCTTTTAGTCATCAAATTTTTGAGTAATCGGGCTTAAAAGCAACTCATCTCGCCGAAATTCGTTATTTTCGCCAATTTTCAAGCACGAATATCTCGAGTCACCTGATAGTTAAACAAATTTCAATCACATTTTTGTGAAGCTTAACCCCTTTTCTAGGAGCATTTATACGGAAATTCCGTTAGCATAAATAAATCTTATGTTTTCTTTTATGTAGCTACAGTTCAAAATCGAGAAAGCTGTTTCTACCCCCTTAAAATAGCAAAAATGTCCAAAAATTTGATGTCCAAAAATTCCATAAAAAACTGTATAGGATAACGCAAAATCTTCTGAGAATCAATTTGATAGGTCACACTTAACCTTAACTCCTAAATTTCGCTTATTTCCGACTCAAGAATTGACCGGAAACGGAGTTTTCTAGAGTTTTTACCCATCAAAATTCTTAAAATTTCCAGCTGATTTTAAAAAGGTATGGTGTACGGTGGTCTAAAAGGCGGAAGTAGGCTGGAAACCGTAAAAAACACGTCTGAAGTCACCTAATTTTATTATCCTGGGGCGGGTGAACAAGAAGAATAAAAAGAGTGAAGTTTGATCGTCAGTTTTCGTGAATAAATAAAATACTGAAAAATTTTTCGTTTTCGATTCTTATGGTTTTCATTATTTTTTTGCAGAAAATCTGGCATTGATCGTGTTAATTCGCCTAATGCTGAACTATAATTTCTCCTTTCACTCTCCCTCTACGCCTATGTTACAGCACAGTACAGTTGCCGTAATACAGTACATTTTGAATGTGAAAATCTTCCGGGCGAGGTCAATGTTTTCGAAATCAAAGTCAACTTCTCAGATTCACTCAGACTCTCAAGGAGCTAGAGGTAAGATGTTTTCATTAATTATTTATTCATGTTTTTGGTAGAAAGAGATTTTCGGGTCGTCTCTAGAATAGGGCTTGTTTGTGATGATTTTCGCGGAAAAAATTTAGTTGCGTTTTGAACAAGTTAAGAACAGTACGAAAAGTGAGTTATTCCGATTTTTGATTAAATTCTAGTGATAATTCAAAATTCTTGAGTTTTACGTAAAAAGGGTTATCCAACGCCTTTGAATGCGGAACTTTGAATGAGCGCCTTTGTATTGCAGTAAATAGGCCTCTTCTTACTGTGTTCCAGTTTCATTTTTTTCTTCTTTCGCTGAGCGAATTTCGCGAACCGCCAAAAACTTAGATCCCGATCTCCCCGCGCATTTTTTTTCGCATATAAAAGTTCGCCCGAGCGACGATTTTCCGTCACTCCCGTTTCAGAGATTTTCCGCGAAAGAGACCTCTCTTTTTTCTGAATATTTTTCGTTTTTGAAATCAACAAGGAATAACCAAGCCACTCTAGAATGGTCATCGCTTCCCAGATCGGTCGAATTGCTGCCGGCTCTGCCGCCGCCGCCGGTACCTTCGTCATGGCTAACAAGGCCAAGGCTGAGGAGCCCGTCGCCGCTCTTGATAGCTACCCACCAAATGGCCTTTCTGCTGGTGTTAAGACTCTCCCTGCCTGGATCCAGAAAGGCTGTGGAAGCACGTAAGTACTTTTAAAAACATATATTATTCCAAAAAAATAAAGTGTAGGTCAAAATTTATTTCGCAATTAAAAAAGTAAGACCTTTAGCTAAAATAAAGTTTTTTGTGGATATCAAATTTCGGGCGTAGATACCCTTAAAAATATCTTTTTCTTTTCCGTTGAAAAACGGCATCCGAATTGCGCGCGCGATCTAAATCATGTTTTCAGCGAGTACATCTGCCCGGAGCGCGGGGCCACCTTCTCTGCTGACAACCCACCCGCTAAGCTTCCTGATCTCTCTCACGTATGTACAGATCTCTTACAGTATCAGCGCTTGAATAAGCGAACGTTTCAATGGTACTTTTGTTCAATCGCATTTCTAGCACAATTCTTTCTTCGCCGAAACTATGCGAGCCAACCCCAAGCTTTGGGACGAGCTCAAGAACAAGACCACTTCCCTTGGTGTCAAGTTCTCCCACTGCATCAAGACCGGTGTTGACAACAAGGGTCACCCCATGATCAAGACCGTCGGAGCCGTTGCTGGTGATGAGGAATCTTACAAGCTTTTCGCCGTAAGCCTCCGCCCCTCATTATTCTTCTTATCTCTCAATCTAGCCCTTCTTCGACCCCGTCATCAGCGCCCGCCACAACGGCTACGCTGCCGACGCCGTCCACCCCACCGACTTGGACGTCCGAAAGCTCTCCAAGACTCCCGTCGATCCCACTGGCAAGTACGTCCTCACTTCTCGATGCCGAACTGGCCGATCTGTCCGAGGCACTCGACTTCCTCCCTGCACTACCTTCCAGGAGCGACGAGAAGTCGAGCGAGTCGTCGTCAAGTCTCTTCTTTCTATGACTGGCGATCTTGCTGGTGACTACTTCCCCCTTGCTGGTTCTCGATCCTACGCTCCCAAGCCAAACGGTAAAGCTTTCAAACAGATCACTTTCTCAAAAAATATCTAGGCATGACCCACGAGAAGGAAGAAGCCCTCCGATCCGCTGGAAACCTCTTCCAGGAGCCCGACTCCACCCTCCTCCTCTCTTCCGGCTGCGGCCGACACTGGCCTGATGCCCGAGGTATCTTCCACAACAACGACCAGAACCTCTTCGTCTGGGTCAACGAAGAAGATCAGATGCGAATCGTCTCCATGGAGAAGGGCGACAACGTCAAGCGAATCATCGAGCGATTCGCCAAGGCCACCACTGAGATTCAGAAGTGCTTGAAGAACGAGGGCTACGACTTCATGCACTCCGAGCATTTGGGATGGATCCTTACTTGCCCATCCAACCTTGGAACTGGTCTCCGAGCCGGCGCCATGGTCAAGGTCCCACACTTCTCTTCCCGACCTGATTTCAAGAAGGTTCTCGGCCGAATGGGTCTCCAGGTAAAACTCAACAAAAACGAAGCCATCACTAACCTCTCTTTTCAAGGCCCGAGGTACCGCTGGTGTCGACTCCGCCTCCACTGGCGGCACCTGGGACATCTCCAACGCTGATCGACTTGGCAAGTCCGAAATCGAGCTCGTCAACATCTTCATCGAAGGTGTCTCCCAGATCATCCGATGGGAACAGGCCCTCGAGCAGGGACAGAACATCGACGCTGAAGTCGCTGCTATCGGTCTCCCCAAGACTGTCACCATTGAGGTAAGAAATCAACGACGATTTTTAAACCATAACTCACAACAAAATTCAGGTTCCATTCTCTTCCACCCGAGGCATGAAGCTCGACTAAATGTTTCCTGTCTCGACCAAATCGACGCTTCCTGCTCGCTGGACCCGAGCAAGAATGCCGTCACTTTTTACCATCAAACTGTACTAACAAACAAAAACATCAAGTTGTGAAAGTTCAAAACCATCTCAAGTTGTTTATTCGCGAATAAAACACTTTTCTTTATACCATTTTCTGTTTATTTTATTTCAATATTTCTAGCAGTTTTGTTCGAAATCAAAGCTCAGTTTTTTTCTTCTTGGGAGGAAGCTTGTAGATGTACTTGATGTAAGGGCTTTGTTTTTCTTCTTCAGTGAGCTTTTGGTGTTCCGAGTCTTTGTGCATGAATCCTCTTTGTCGGAGCTCTCTTCTTAGTTGCTAAAGCAAAATGAGTCATTTTTCTTTAATGATGGCTTACATAGAGGTTCCAGTTAGTGATTTGGAGATCTTCTTTTACTACTCCTTTTCGATTATGGAATTTGATGTAGAGTTCTTTGCAAGGATGAAGATGTTTGAAGCTGAAATTATGCCAGAGGTTGACTTCATTTTTTGAGAAATCTTTGATCTTAAAGTTCAAATAAGGGGATACCTCCAAAAAAACACTTACCCATGAGTTCGCTGTTGGGCTCCCCTCGATCCATCCTCCCGCAATTCTGGCATACTCCGGCAAATTATTCAAGTCATGTTTTCGTCGATGAACAATGGTCTCAACTCGTACCGACTTCACTCCATATTTTTCCCACCATTCTTCATTCGTTAGTTCTCCGTTGTCAGCCCTGGCAGAAACGCCAAGAAAAAGCAAGGATAAAGCTTTCAGGCGCATCGTTTTTTGTTTTGAGAAGATGAGAGATTTAGAATTTTTGTTGGAAAACTGAAGATCCGGGTTGCTGAGTTAGGTCTTACGTGGCTTTTTTAAAGATGAAAAGAATGTAGAAGAGTCAGGGTTTCATCAGATTTTCCGAATAACAAGAATCTTCCAAAGTTACCAAGCAACCTTACTTCAGGACGTTTTTGCAACCTTGGTAGAAGTAGACAATAATGTTTGGAGAATCCATCTGAAATCAATTTCACAGCTCAGCGGAGTGACAATGTGGAAATTATTGTTGGACATAATTAATTGAATCTAACATTGATTCAGTGAATGTTGATCTTGCCACTTGCCGATTATCTTCCTCCTTTTGAATTATTCATTTTTGATTAAAAAAACTAGGTCTCCATTTCTCGAAATGAAGGTTGCTAAAAATTGCTTGACTAAAGAAATGAAAAATTGTTTTCTTCAAAAATCATTGGCCATCTTTTTATTGACCATCTTTGGCCTGTCCTTTAAAATTCTGCCGTCAAACTTGGTCTTTGAGAAAAATAAGCGTTCAAATCGACAAAGACGAAAGTAATTCTTTTGACTTATTTTCCTCAAAAATAGGTGAGCCAGGATCATTTGTTCTGCTACTTTATGACAGTGACTCTCATTCTGTCAAATTAAATTTGGATCATTCCAAATTGAAGGTCGCTCGGGTACTTTTTTACACGTAACCGAGAGGAAACGGCGATGCGCGTCGATTTAAAAATTCATCCTCTAGCACGGTCAGTGGTTATTAATGCTGCGCTCTTTTCTTCTTCACTTTTGATTCGAATCAAATATAGTTGTACCTACTTCAAACTTTAGATTTCGACAATCTCGTTTTTCATAAAAGAGAAAAAATGTCGCATTCATACAGAGAATTTAGCGCAAACTTGTTGATTTTCCTTTTTCGTGGTGCTTTTTCGGAAATCTGCGGTAGAAGATCAAAGGCGTTGAGTAACTACTGCCGAAGCAATTTGTGTCATCAAGTAAGTACTCTTCTTTGGTCCAAGATGTTCAAGATTGATTCTAGTGCAAATACATCGTCGCTTCAAAGCAAAGCTCCAGCCCGTATACAAGACCTTGTATGGAGTTATTGAATCAAAAGTGCTGCTGTAGTTTGTACATGGGATTCAACGGTCTTCATGGGTCGGTTCAGTGCGTCGATAAAAGGACGATTTTAGAAAGGAAGGACAGCAAACTTATCGAGATTTTTATGAAATCAACGAGGAAAATAATATGACTCATACAGTATGATTCATACTAAATCACCCATATGACCATATAGCCCTAACCCTAACCAGAACTTTAACACCTTATCAAGGGGGACCCCCTTAGTCTAGTACAGGGCTGGATATTTTGAAATCAGCAAAAATTTCAAATCAATTTTTGTGTGAAATCTCATTTCTATCTCAAAATTTTGCACCATCTCAACAAATCTCAAATTTCAATATTATTGCAACTCCCTCGTCATAATTTTTTCCATTCTTGAGATTGCTGAGATCTCGAGATCTCAAATCTCAAAATTTTGCAAACCGCGCAACGGCCGCGGACAAACGTCGCGGGCTTAGAGCAAGATTTGTGATTGGTTCAGATGGACCTGAAATGCTTGAGATCTCAGAATTTCAAATTTCATTTCATTGCAACGCGCGTATCCAACTCACGCAGTTTTCTGAGATAATTGAGATCTCAGCATTTCAAATATCATTTTTTTGCAAAATCGAAAATTGAGATCTCAGACAGAAAATTTTCTGAGATTGCATTTTTGAAATGGATGAGATGATGATTCATGTTTTTTTCGGGGTTTGAGATTTTTGTTGATTTCAAAATATCCAGCCCTGGTCTAGTAGCAGTAAGATTCCATCAAATCCGGTTTTCCGATGCGAAGCCCTTAATTTTCTCTCTACTCGTTGATGTAACTGATGTCCAATGCTGACGAAATATGTCAAACTGCTAAATATTAAGAAGCTTCTACTTTCTTTCAAAGATATAAAAGGCTGTCATGAAGTTTTCTTATAAATAATCAACCGGCAGTCTGCTATCCTAAACAGCCCCACTTATCCAGATCAGAATCTTCCAAGAATCAAACAATCTGACATGTATCGTTTGGAGCTTCTAAATCTCAGGTGAATTATCTTTCCCTGCATCATTTATTGTCCTTACAAGGCTTTTATAGTGCGAACACGCCACTTTTCAAAGAAAACACTTGCGAAGTGGAGCGTGTCGATTTGCGCGAAGACGATCAAACAGGCGGAAACGCGTTAATAAAACACTTGAACGTCGTGACGCTCGTCTATGTTCCTATCGCATTTGTGTGCCTGATGGTGGTTGTTCTGCTAATTTTCCATTCATACTTGACTAGGTAAGGGCTGACAGATATTTCCTGAGTTTTTTCGGCTCTTTTCTTTCTACATTAAAAAATTTATCCCTATGCTCAATATTTCTAAAATTAAAAGAAAATCGCAGATTTTTAATTTTTATGGTTTATATTTTAGGTCGAAAGGCAGCAGATTTGAGCGTCTGAAAAGCTCAAAACGAAAGAAGCCCGACTTCCTACCAATCGAGAAGCCAATTTCTGTAGAAAAACCACAGTCAGAAACTGATGAATAGTCTTTTCTGAATAGAGCTTCTTTATAAAGTTTAGTTTTTTCTGAGCTTTTAGGTCTGTAAACAGCAAATATATTTATTTAATCAAAAAAGAATATCTTTTTACGATGAACTGAAACCATAAATTTTATCAAAATTACGATTTATTTATATTTTTTCATATTTAAGGAATAAATGGATCACTAACATAATTTTCATAAATTTTTCCAATAATGAACCCGATTTTAAGAAATATGAGTTTCCTAAAATAAAAAAGTGCCCAAAAAGCCTCAAATCTAAGGTCAACCAGGTGACACGAACAATGCCAAAAGAAAAAAAATGTCGCCAGCCGCCACCTTGAAATAGTTTTCGGTCAAGTCCTCACCCTTAATCCGATTTTAAAACGACCAGCTTTTCGAAAATTCGAAATCGCATCTCTGCGAAAGAATTTTTTTCCGTTACCGCAAGACGCGCAGTAAGCCCTTTCTAGCTGCTATTTTATAAGCAGTTTATGAGTAGAGCTGGTAATGAAACTTGAAATTTTTTCATTTTTTGAAATTTAAGTCGAAAAAAATAAATTCAATTCCAATCAATTCTGCTTCGAAAACAAGCAATTCTCAATCCACGAAAACTCGATTTCATACCAAACAAAAGCGATTTTTCCAAAAACAGAAATCAATGTTTATTTCCTTCTTTTTTCTTCTTCCACTTTGAAAATTAGCCTTCAAGCATCTCGTTTGCATGTGTCAATAAATATCATCACTCGAGTGAACTTTCAAGAAACTAATTGAAATTGGCTAAATAGCAAATGCGCTTTGTGAAAGTAAATTAGCAAAGAAAAAAGGGTGAAGATGAGAAAAAGAAAAACGCCGATTTCCTGTCGAGGAGTGAGAAAAAGAAACAGGTGACGGTTTGAAAACAACACTTGTTTTCTCTTCGCAAATACTGTTCTTCCCGTTCCTCCCTTTTTCCAAACGATGAAAATCGACAGTTTTAGCAGCTTCTAATTTTGATCACAAGAGAAAAGGGAGAAAAAAGGAGGTATTAATTTACCTACTACCGGTATCAGGATCGAAAGCTTGGTTCCGTAGCCTGTGTCAAAACCTGAGTCAGGGTCCAAATAGAGCTCTGCTGACCAAAAAAGCCGCGCAGCGGCTTTAAAAACAAGAAGCCACAGCGCGGTTTTTTTGGCCAGCAGATTTTTTTTTGAGCTTTTTCAGGACCCTGACTCAGGTTTTAACACAGGCTGCGAGAGTCAGTTTACGTATTTGTGTATGTTAATATTGGAATGTTTGAGACAGATGGCAATTTCCCAATGATGAGCCGGCATTAATTCCAACTCGTATTGTGTTGGATCTAAAGATAGATAAATTTAGTCAAGAGAGAAATTAAGGATGCAGGGCAGAAACGATGATATACGTGAGGAGGGCAATATCCGGGACGTGCGTTTTACCCTTGAGAGAAACTCCACAGCGATAATCTCCTCGTTCTCTTCCCGGATTTTGTTTCAATTTTTTTCTGGCTTCGGGAAAATGCCTACTTATCTTCACCTGGTTAGAACTTGAGTACGCCAACAATCAAATAGAGAATAGAGGCGAAAAAGAGATTTAAAAACCGAATCGAACCAATTGATAACTGATGAAAGCCGCGTGCGGCTTTTTTAAGTACCAAAAAAGATAAAAATAAAAAGCCGCATGCGGCTCTTTTTCAAATTGGTCGCTCAAAGTGAGCTTTTATTTCGAAAATTGAAAATTATAGAATTAGCCGCGAGCGGCTTTAAGGGTATAGTCATCGATTTTGGTCGGGTCTCCAAATTTTAATCTGAGCACATTTTTAGAATCCCCATAAAATTCTGAGCAAAAAACTCCTTAAGATTATTTTGGCTATCTTAACGCATTTGGCCGCAAATTGCGTTTGAAAGTTGTGAAATTTAGTGCATTTTGACCATTAGCCGAATATTTTGAAATTTTGACCATTTTTAGGGGCTTTGTAAGGGTGCCATATAATACATTTTTAGAAAGCTTATATTCAGGGCGTTTATTTAGGACCACCTAGGGTAAATTTGGGCTATGCCCGCAGGGCATTTTATCAAAGTGAAAGGTCAAAATTTGGTACCTTGGTTCTTTTAAAAATTTTCCAAAGAAAATTTTATGATTACAGTACAAGGCTGTGTCATTTTTAAGATTAGGGTCTATATTTTAAGAAAAAAACATAAAATCAATAGGTTTATATGAAAACTTTGGACTTATAACGCCTTGAAAAGAGGCTATTTTCGCGTTATTTGGCCGAGAGCTCAACTTTGAGCGATCCGCAAACCATGATTCCCTTGGAAATAACGTAAAAGGCTGTGACAAAAGTGAGATCTAGGATGGATCTTTTATATGACCTATTTAAGAGCCTCTCACATATTCCAAGTCCCGAGTTATAACCCCTTGAAATCGGCCAAATCGACGACTATACCCTTAATATTGGTTTTCTTACGACAGAAGCCGCATGCGGCTATTTTTCAAAAGAAAATTTTGACGAGAAATGTTTCTAGAATGTTTTTGGGATAATTTTATTTCCAGTCATTTGCGCTCAAATATAATTCTTAAACTCCAGCTGCACCAGCACCGATTTCTTTTCATCGTGGTGGTGATGGTGTGTGTGTGCACCTGCTGGCTCTGGCCCGAGCGCCCTTGACATTGAGACGGTGGTGCCGGTGCTGGGGCGGCGGGCTGCTGTGCCCCACAGCGATTTGGTGCTCTCGTGGCTGGACGGCAGGGCGGCCGTTTTTTGGGGTCCCTCGCTCAAAATCCACCGGCACTAGGCACCACCTCCACACACACACACGCATACTCGCGCAGACACATTTACACTCACTCCTCCTCCACAGAAGTTAAACGCACACTTAACTTAATTTCACTAGTGATACAGAGCGCAAAAACCTGACAGAGCGGAAAATATATTTGACAGTTGCCCTTATTCCACAACAAAAAAAAGGAAAGAAAAAGAGAAAGAGAGAGAGAAACCGCGAAAAAGAGGAGGAAAAAAAAGATAGAGATAATAATCACTCCTCATTTTTGAAAAAAAAAATCAATGATCTTGGATAGGGAGCCCCTTAAAATGAGTCAGAGATTTAAAATTAAACATATTTTCTTTCCAAGAAACACAGAATAGGATTCTCTCCAATCTTAGGCAATAAAAATCATGAACTCGGCTGATCGAAAATCACCGTTTCCGCAACTCAACGTAATAAATCATCATTAGAATTATGATCGTTCCCCGGTCCGCCCTCTTGAATAAAGATTTACCAAATCTAAAGACCCCCTTACCTCTTCCCATACCCCGATTTAACCCTTTATAAATAATAAAGCAAAGCTTAAAGGGTGCGTACGCCTCAAAATCGACTCTTTTTACCCGGACAATCGAAATAAAAACAGATCGATATTTCTATCCTATTTCTATCTTCCCGCCTCTACGACATACAGACATGAGAAAAAGGGGCCCTGTTGTTAAATAGAAGGGGAGTCCCTTAGGCTTCCTGAAACAAGAGCGAGAGAGAGGGTGAGTTAGGAAAGAGACAGAAAGAGAGGGAGGGATGCGTCAGCCGCAGTTTTGTAACGAGCCAAATCAGCAAGGACCTAGGCGCCTAGCATCAGATCACCTTTTTTCCTAGAACCCTCTCTCTCTTTCTTTTTCCCTGTTTTTCGAAGAGAAGATGAAACGATGAAGAAAAAGAGATAGAGAAAATATTTGGCAGCTACGGTTTACGTACTCATTTACATTCTTTAAGACGGTGGCTTAAATTTCCTTATGGAATGTAAAGAAGTATGTGAAAGTGGTAATGCCTTATTCGACGATTCTGGAGAGATTACCAATTGGTCAAGGGGTTTGACCCCGGTTGACCCCGGCTGACCCTTTTCAAACCACTTAAAGAAAACCACTTTATGATTTCTTATTCATGATTTTTATTTTTTTGTATGAAAATTCTTATAATTAATTATATAAGATTATTATTACTTGTATATCTAATACTGTAATTGGTAAAAATTGATCATAAAAGCTCATTTTTTGACCTCAAATGACCTCACGTGACCTCAGATGAACAGAAGTCCTCATATAAACATGATTTTTACGGATAAATTTATGATAGTTATCAAGATTTTCGAATCTATAAAATTACAAATCAACTATTCTATTTGGCGCTAATATGAAGCTATCAAATGCGTCACGTGTCTTCTACGGCCTAAAAATCCGCTAGCTATCGATTCTTAGCTCCTCTGGGACCGACAAGTCGAAATCACAGTATAAATCCCATCTTCAATATTGGCCGCCTTCCAAACTTGCAGAGAAGGAGCTTTATCTTTATGTTAAAAAGTGCCGGCTAAAATTAAAAAAATGATAAATACCAAATTGGCAGGAGCGGCTTGAGCCTATTGATCTTTTTATTTATATTGTAAATAAACGCTACATTATCGTTGTATAAACATATATATCAATTGCTAGGGATGCCAGATTTGTTGTATATATTGTTGTTTAAACTTTGAAATGCCGGGGCTAAACACGTGGAAAACCAAGAAGAAAAAACGTGACAATCGCCTTAAAATCAATCAAAGGTCAAATTATCCATTCCAAAAAAAGGGATTGAATTAAGGGGGTCACGGGCGCAAACGAAGTTTTTTTAGGGTTAAGGGTTAGGGTTCGTACTTGTGTTTGGGTAAGATAAAATAAGTAATTTGAAAATAAGGGTGTCAAAGCCTTATTTCAAAAATTAATTAAGGGTGTCAATATGATATATTTTTGAAAGAGTCTGCTGAAAAATGACTATAATATTTTTTTAAATGTGAAAATTCATTGATATCTCCCCTTAAAAATAAATGAAATAGCCTTAAATTCAAGGAACAAGAAGATCTTATATCAAAAAATACCACATGCGTCTCAAGATGTTGTTTCGCCATGTCGTTAATCACAATTTCTAAAAAGTTATCACAATAAAAATCGAGAGTCAACACAGTTTTTTTGTTTTGGCTTGGTGCCAGGCGCGCGCCAATGGGTGATAAGAAGCATGTAACAGCAGGTGCTCGATGATGCCAAAACCGGCCCAAGTTTGTTATCACATCACGGCGGGAGCGCTCTATCTGCGCGAAAATGAGCGACACGAACAACGAAATTTTAACGCTTTTATTTCTCTTTAATTATGATAAAAAAATTTGGACATGCTGATAAAATCATAAGACAAAATAAAATTTTAAAAATAAGTTTTATTTAAATTTATTAAAAAAAAGAAACAGAAATAAAAAAAAACGGCTCATCAATCTTTTGACGATGAATTTTTGATGAGCTCATTGGCCTCTTCTTCAGTGATGATTCCATCTTTGACGGCGTCAGAAAGTCGGACCTGGTTTCCATCTGAATCTTCAACAAAAAGTCGGTGACCCGCGATTGGCCGGGAAGAGTTGTCCTTGTTGTCTCCAAAGGAATTTTCTCTAGAACAGATTTATGAAGACCACATTTGTTAATTGGCTAAAAAAGATTCCAAATTTATGAATTTGCGGGAAACGATTCATTAATACTTTTATGTTTCTTTTCAAAACGCCATTTGAGCTCGACTGTTTATTGATAAATACTGTTTCTACTTCTTTACTCACAGTGATGATGTCAAAATCGGAGCAGCAGCTTCTTGAGTCTTTCTTTGTCTTCTTGGTTTTCCTGGCGTCATTCCATCCACAGTGCTTTTTCCAGTCGAATTCGAAAGATCAGCTACTCGAAGAGGAGAATCTGGAGTCGGGGTTGCGAGAGAAGATCGAAGGGATGAATTTGCAGAGGATGAAGGTCTGATGGGCTGAGGTTGGGAATTTTTGGAAGGCAGGCGGAGGAATAGATCGCCTTCTTCGTCACTCGACGCGTTTTCTAGACAAAAAAATCTGAGCACCATAAACTCGATTGAATGAACAAGCACAAAAATTTAAGGATTATCAATACATGCAAATAAAAAACTTCATCATAACTCATTTTATAGATTATTTCCTCATATTAAATACCTAATAAAAGCGAATATGAGCATTTCCTCTGTCCTTCCACAGTCAAATCCTTGAAAAGTCCATTTTTGATCGCCCTCTTGATCTTCTTATCCCAAACATCTGGATTTTCCAAAAGTTTCTTTGCCTTGACCGAGTCAAAATTGAGCCTAAACGGCACCCGGTGGTCAATTATTCCCCCAGTCGCCAGCTGAATTACAATTTTTTTATCAAATCACAAAAAAAGGGAGCATACCTGAGCGTCGATAAGTTTTAACGCGTCTGCTTCGCGCATTTGTTTCTTTTCTAGAGCTTGGAGGAGGGAGATTTGATTGTCATCTTCGTCAACTTCAGCGCTAGAATGACAAATAAAGGGCTCTTTCTCGGGTTTGAAAGGCTCACCCATTGATGATTCTTGAGGTTCTATTGAAGCCATTCTGCATATTCGCCGGAAATCTATCTACCTCCACGGAACCCGGAGCACAGGCAATTTGCGAGTTGACCATGTCTTTCAGCACCAGATTCGAAACCTCTCCTTGTTTTAGCGCTTCTGGCCACCTGAGCCGCTCTTGGTCCAATTTGACGCCAACCAAGGGCCGACCATATTTGCGAAGAGCGATTTTGATCGGATTGAGAACTGATTGCTCGAAACTGTATTTTGGTATTTTCCCATTTTCAATTTCATCGACGATTTTTTGAGGGAGGAGATTTGCATCGGCAAGGTCTGACAAGGAGAACTTCTTTTCGATGTCTGAAGTAAGCAGAGTCATTATTTCTTCTTTTGACATCATTTCCGGCTCAGCATTTGCAACTTCTGGATCATAAACGAGCACATTTGCTCCGTCCTTCAGAATTCCTCGCCGAAGAAGAGCAGAGTACGGCATGTTTTCTTTGGTGTTGACGTCGGTGTAGCCGTAAGAATCGCGATCTTCGAGGCAGTACTTGACGTAGTTGATGACTTTTTCGTCGAAATAATCAGATAAGTGATTGAAAGGAACTCTAAAAAAATTAATCGGGCAAGTAAGCTTAAAAAAAATTGCACACTATAAAAGTAATTACTCAAGCCTGACTCTACTTTGAAAAATATTAATATTGAGAAGTTTCAAGAGAGTAATGGTATTTTTGAAGTACCTAAAATTCAATTCTGGATGAATTAAGCCACCACAAGCCATCTGCAACCTAACTAATCTTTCTAGTCGAGCCGATCAAAATCCAATTTTTGTGTTTTTTGGAGAGTAGACAAAAGCATCTTTATCTTTTGATTACTTCAAATAAAAAATTATACATCTTTTCTTTATTTTCTTTGTCTAATTTTATGTTTCTATGTTAAGTTTATGATCGGTGCCTAAGTGTGGATTCTGCGTTTTCTTTGAGCTTTTTATATGATCGATCAGGGTTTGATCGTCTCCGTGGGCGATGATCATGGCTCTGGACAAAGCAGCTTTGTTGACTTCGGATAGGAAGCCTTTCTCAACAGCTTGATCGACATCCATTAAGTTTTGAGGATCATGTGGGTCGAGAAAAGCTCCATTCGCGGCCTGAAATATTGTAGAAAATGCGCAATTTTCGACAAACCTGAGCTTCCAGAAGCGCTCGTGCTAACCCGGGAGTAACGATCTTTTCCTTCGCTGCTTGTTTGATAGAAATACGCTCGCCAGTGTCTTGCTTCCAATATCCAACGATTGGCAGCGGGTTACCATGGGTAAATTGCTTCGTCAGCTCTTGAAGCTTTGAGAGCGGCTCATACCCGTCCAAGAAGGGTTGAAGCTTTGAAAGTTCGAAGAACGGGAGGAGGTGTCTTTGATTGAATTTCAAAAAAAAACGAGTTGATTTTCTATTTTTTATTCATGAAATTCTTCCTGAGGGCACATTTTTTTCTCCATAAAGTCTCCAAGAAAATTTCGTCAAGCTCCATCGATGGTCCCACTTTTTGACTTCTCAAAAAAGGAAATTTCAGTTCGACGTTGAAATTCTCAATTTTCACACTTCTCCAACTGCAAAAACTCTCATCATCGTTCATTAGATCGTAGTAGCTCTGGGAAAAGCCCCGGCAAGATTGGACTGAGAGAAAAGGGCCGACCAGATTGTGCTTTAATTCATCAGCATAAATTTCTGACATTATCTGATCTTCAATGGCGTTTTTGAGGCAAAGTTTGACCCCGGTTTTCGGGTCGATTATTCCTCCTGTGAGCCATTGAGCTTCGAAAATCTTCAAGGCCTGGGATGGAGAGAGTTTTGAAAGAGACAACATTGAATTCAATGATTTTTTATTCGGAGGAAATCCGATTGTACCTAAAAATGTTACTCATCCTCTTTCGAAAGGGTCCTTACTGTTGATGTAAATTTCGAATCGAGAGTCATCCACAAAACCGGGAAAATCTTTTGGAGGAATTAGGGTCGCACTCGTGAAATCGTCATTGAATCTTCAAAAAGAACGTCGAAAGCATAGAATTATGCGAATCACTTACTGTGCGAAGATTCCACTGGCGATTGCCCTGCTTGTCAGCTTTTTTACAGTTATCAGATTGAACTTCAAGACCGGATAATTGAAATATGATCGAACCAGATTTCTAGCTATTTAGGCCTTATCGTCGCCAAAAACTTGACAAAAAAATGAAATGAAGCTTTTGTATGAGCAATATCTGAAATCAATGTGAATCCTTAAAATGCAACTTTAAAAGTTTTTTAGCAAAGAGAAGCCTTTCGTCAAATCTACAGTAATTAATCATATTTTTTGATAAGCCATCAGTGACGACTGTTTCCTGAAAATACTCTTCTTCTGAAATAAACTTGCCATCTCTAGCCTCCTTCAATCCAACATATTTCTGCAATTTCTCCAAATAGAGACCATTAATCGAGCCTCTCGTACCAACGATATAATCAGCCACAACTTTCGGATCATCAACATCTATTTTTCCGTCATCAAGCTTCGATAAATCAGCATTAACTCCCCAGGAAGTCGTAAAGGACGGGTAGTCTTTTCGCTTTTCAGCTTTTTCTAGTTTCGGAAAGTCGGAATATTTTAATGTTCGAAACTGACGAATTTTTATCTTCGTTTTGAATTCTTTTTGCGGGCCGAAAATGCCGAGTAAAAAGAAGCATCGTAAAATTTTTGTATTATTCAAGTTCAAGTTGCTTCTCCAGGGCTTTTGATAAATCGTTAAATTCGTCAAAAAGACTCGCTAACGAACTTTTTCAATAGATTGATGACGGCAAAGAAAGAGCTCGATTGGAAATATTCAATTTGTTCTTACCCTTTTCCGCAATAAAAATTTAACCTATTCACGCTGAAGAGTAATTTATGGCCCTGCCTGTGGTTTGCTCGAATTCCACTTTGTCCTTCGGGATGCAAATTAGCCTGAAATCATGGATGAAAATACCCTTTTTTGATCAAGATTTTTCTGAGAATTTGGCCAAAATTCTTGATTAACTGGCTAAAATGTGGCTAAAAAGATATTCCTTTACATAAAATCTTCAATTCTAACTTTTTTTAGCAGAATTATTGGCATAAAAAAAGGAGAAGCTCCAAATTCACAAAATACCTGGGCATCTTGGATTTGTAAAGTTTTTCCCTTCTTAGATATTTTCTCTCTTTGCTTGATTATTTATTGTTTTCGCCTTTAACTGGCGAACAAGAAAATCATAAGGCTAGATAGCAAATTATTCGGACAGATAGCAAACGAATGAGATCATTTCGTTACGACCTGGAGGAGAGTTTTATGATGCCCGCGCCTTGCCGAAGTGTAGTGAGAAATACAAATCTCGACAATCTAAACTGTTCTCGTATTTTTTATTCTTGTTTATTATTCATGATTGTTACCGAACTGTACATAAAAAAGCATTACAAATTCAAATTTGAAGACATAATCAATGTCTAATCACTTTCAATGAATTACTTGTTTTTCAACGGAAAAAAGGCCTTCTTCGAACATCATCCGCTGTATCGACTGCATGAATTGAAAAGTATGTACATAAGTTCCATCTAAAATAGATTTTAAAACTTGTTTCTCATTCACTTTAAGTTTTCAACCTGCTCTGCTTATTGTTTTTCCAAGAAGTTCATCTGCCCGTGAGTTCTTTCTTATCATTCCAATTGGATACGCTCGGGACTGTTTTCTTAAAAATCTTTCGTCTAATTCACCCTCTTCTTCTTTTTCTGAATTTTCATATTCTTGATTCTCTTTGTGTTGTTCTTTGCTTTCAAGAAGCGAAATATCAAAAAGCATTTTTTGGGAATTTTTAGTTTTTCGAGGAAAAGAAGCTCTTGTTATTTTTGGAGATGAGTTTGAAGTCGGTTTTAATTTTGTTGTCAACAATGACGATCTTGTCGTTGTCGTTGGTGTTTTTGTTGATGTTGTCGTTGATGTTGTCGTTGATGTTGTCGTTGATGATGCTGATGTCGTCGGTGAAGATGTTGTCGACATTGATGATGTTGATGATGCCGTTGATGTTTTTGGTTTTGGTGTTCCTGTTATTGTGAACGCGGTCGATTTCGGTATTGCTGACCTTCTCAAACTAAAGATTATCCGAGAAGGTCGCAAACTTTCCTCTTTCCATTTACAACCGGAGAAAACATTGAAAGTGCCTAGATTCGTGTGACAGTTACAAGTTCTTTCAAAGGCTTCAATATTCATGCTTCCGTTTACACTTTTACTACGGTAGAAAATCAGATTGAAGCCCATTTCTTTGATATTCCTGTGTCGCCGAGGTTAAAAAATTTTGGGCAAAAACTGTGCAGCTTGAAAATTCAGAAGTGCCATTTGGACAATTCCATTCTCCACAAATTCGAGAAGAATCCCCATCTCTGCAGTAAAACGTCGCTTCTTCCGGGCAATGAGTTCGGGATTCCACGTAGAGATAGATTTTCTCGTCGGCCTTTTTCCCCTCCGATTCACGTTCCGGACTCGGCCCTTATCATAAAGTTATTGAGAGGTGCCGTCATAATGTTATAAATTAATTCCTCATTAAAATTGGTCGTGACCAGTGGATAGAAAGATTTTTTTTCCGCTGAACCTGAAAAATATCCGCACGGAAAAAAACGGTTTTCTTCCTTGATTTCAAATTAAAAATATATCATATTTGTCACATTTTATTCAAGAAAGAAATATACAGAAAAAATTTTTTGTATTTACAAATTCACTCTTCGTAAGATCTATTTTTTCGTCGGGTTTACGTCGAGTTGACAGAGTTATTTTCGGTTCTTCGTTTTTCATCAAATCGTAGAGCCTTTGAGATTGCACAATTATCATTTTGCATAGTCGGTTTCTTTGGTTTATATTCATTATAAATAGCAATTTTTCGGTAGAAAAAAATTATTCATAAATTACAAAAAGGGTAAAAATAGAGGGATTGAGGGTAAAAAATTAAATTTATCTACAATCGGGTTTGTCAGCGTTTTAAACTCAAATTTAAAATTAATTTTGAGTTTTTGGCAAAAGAGATTTTCATAAACAAGCTAAAAAAAAGTATAAAAATTACAGCTTCTGGCGCCTGGAAAATATAAATAAAATCGAAATGGTTCGTTAATTCCATTTTAGGCAAGGTTTGATAGTGGCGCGATGTGGAATCGAGAGGGAGCGGCTGTTCGGCGCTTCCTTTTCCTGGTTGGGTTGGCGCAAGTGACCAGGGAGGGACACTCGGCGGCTTCGCATACTTTGTATCGGCACTGGAGATTGATCTAAAAAATGGAGTAGATAGGAGGCCAGCATAATCAGGGTCAAATCAAACCTGGGCTCCAGAAAGCTCGCCATGGAATCTGAAACTTTCAAAAAGAAATCGGACTTCGTTGTTTGGCCCTCTCGCAAGAATCTGAACCGTCTCGTCCAGCAAGCAACCAGCCTCAATCATCGGCCAAATCGCCTGACCAGAGGGAGATGCAAGGTCGACGATTTCGCCAGGACTGGCAACGCAATCGGTCACTTGGAGTTTCTGACCAGAGCTGACAAGGGTGGCGTTTGATTGGACGAACACGTCGACGCCGGTATCCATGACTTTCCCGTCCCAAGTTTCGGTGAAGTCGGAATTGGAGAAGATTTGAAGATCACCAGTTTGGGTTCCTGTGAAGAAGAATCAAGTTTTCTGTAGATTTTACAAGGATCTTACCAGCAATGTTGATAAGTCCTCTAAAAGCAGTGAGCTCTGGGTAGAAGTCTCCGTGGAAAACGAATTCGAACTTGGTCGAAACAACGCATTCCAGTTCAACATCGAATTCAGGGACCACTGGGAAGACAGGAGCTTCTTGATTGATCCAGGTCAGCATTCTGTTCGTGAATGTGACGGTTCCGAGATCTTCATCGACAACTTGCGTGGTTCCGCAGTCTCCATATCCGATTATCCATTTGTAATGAGTTCCTAAAAGAGGGTCATCATCTTTGAAGAGACGAAAGGGTCTTACCATTGTTTTCCATAGTCGGAGCGCAGGAACCACCCTTTCCCGCGTTGAAAATCATGTCTTCCTGCTGAAGCCCTCTCAATGAGCAGATAGGGATATCAAGCTCCATTGAGAACTCGCCGCAGGCAATGGTCGACGCATAATTTCGTTTATAACAGGGCTCTCGGTTTACTCGCGTTTCGATATCTCCAGCAGACATGCCTAGAGCAAAAATTACAAATTGATCAATTAAAAAAGTGACATCAATGGTTTTCTATCAATCCTGAATCCCGCTAAATCCCCGAATGTCAATTCTGCGGTCCCTTTATCTTATCTTGCCAGTGCAGCTAGAGGGGGTGTACTTGAAAACTTTCCACTAAAAACGAGATAAAGACACAATTTTCCCTCATTTCTTTGTTTATCGTTGGGATAAAACTTGTTGACCGCAACAACAAAGAGGTTCTGTAGAAATAACTTCACTTATTAGACAATAATAAAAAAAAAAGAAAATGTTACGAATAAAATTTTTTGACAAAATCAATTTCCATTAATGAAGAGACAATTGATTAACGATTGCTCTTAATCAACAAATTATCCTCAACTTTCATCAAAATTGTCCCTTTTTTTCAAAAAATAGTGCTTAGCAATTTATTTTCGAAATACAAATAAAAATGATTTATGGTCTAAATTATTTACCAAAAAATATTTCTTGGAAATTTTCGACCAATCACAAGGCTAAATTCCGCTAACTCGCCAAACAGCAGCTGATCAGCCGCCAAGGCAAAATTTGTCGAAATTTTCAACCAAGATTTTGGTCAAAATTATGGCAAAAAGGCTTTTTCGTTTGCTCTAGAATCAAGCCTTCCTAAAAAGCAGAATAAACTCGAAGTTTGAGACGTTTCATCAAACTAAACATCCAGCTCTTTAATACCCTTTAATCCCTCTATAATCAACCATTTTCTAACAAAAAAAAATTGATGCTCCGTTAGACGTTGAATGTTTTTACAATAATCGAATTTTGAATTCCTCGAGGAGCGGTTCCTACAGCGGCACGATTCTTTATCAAATCAAACAAAACGAGCAGCGCCCCTTAAATTTTAGTTGTAACCGCGCTCACCTTCGTTAAGATTGATGATGTTGGTGCAGACATCGTAAGTTTCGTGATTGCAGGCGAGGATTGAAGCTTGGATCTTTGCTTGCTCGGTTGCGCCGTCTCCCTCCATCATGACGATGGTGATGTCTGTTTCTGGTCGGTTGAAGGTGATCATTTCGGTAGAGTCAAGCAGCTCAGCGGCCATGGAGACGAAGGAAACAGTAGCAGCATCGTGGGCACGATCGTTAGGCTTAAAAAATACAGTTTATTCAGATGCCCAATAATTTCGGTCACAAAATTTCATTTCCCGAGGGAAAACGATATAACACGAAACGTGAATACAGAAAACCGCCGCTGAATAGAATTTGACGTGGTGAGGCACTTGAGCGGGGAGTTGAATTCGCCCATTATTTAGAAACAGGAGAACGTGAAAAAAGCATTTTTGTTGACCATGACTTGGGCATTAAGAAACAGGTGGATGAACCTCGAGAACCTCGGGCTTACCTCGAGAAAAACGTTGGACATGATGTTGTCCGCGCACTCGTTTGTCAGGACGTCGAGGTCGTCGATGATGTCGGGGACGGAAGTGAAGTTCCAGTTGGACACTTCGTGTTGGACTCGACCGTTTCCGTAGGAGGCGGCGAAGATTCTAGCGTCGTAAGTATTTACCTAAAACAAGGGTAAGAAAAACCAATCATAAACATTTTAAAACTAAGCCACTCCTCACCTCAACATTGAAAAAGTCGGCGATATTGGCCATCGTCGCTTTCTGAGCATCATGATATCCTTCGCTAGCGCACGCTGAAATTGTTCCATCCAGCCAGAGCAAAATGTCAAACGGGCACTCTTGGTTGTCGATGCAGGTTTTTCCATCATCGGCAAGACTGTGGCCGCATGGACAGACGCAGATGGGGAGCATGTCTCCTTTGTCGATACATTCGTGGGAGCAACCGCCGTTGTTTGTCAAGCAAGGCGATTCTTGAATTATTAAATTGAATAATTAATTGAAAATAAATAAATTGAAAAATTGAAAAATTTTTTCATTTTTAAAATTTTAATAAAATTAATAAATTGAATAAATAAATTTATTCTTCTTACCAAGATAATCTCTGACACACTCAAATTGTGACTTAGCAAAGTTCCACTTGACCGGGCTCTGTCCTGGCTTTGTCTTGTCCCATTTTTTCTTCGCAAAGCATCGTTTCTTCTTGTTCGGTTCTGAAATTATCAAAGCGTGAGGAATCGGAATTCGCAAAGATTTTGATGCATTTTCGGCAACATCGCGTTGAGTCATAACGATGTGCGGCGAGGATGATAATGATGGACTTACACATCAGGTGAAATTATTCCTGATGTTTTTTCAGGCTTGAACTTTTAGGAAAGATTTTTTTTCAAGAAAGTTCTTTTTTTTTCTTTTGGAAAAACTTTCAGCTGGAACGTGGTCAAAAATGAACCATTTCTTCTAGTTAGAATATCATTTTCCAACCTGTTAAAGTAACATGATCGCAGGCTTTTATCCTCACAGGAAATCCCGTGGAGCAAAAGTGATCTCTGAAAGGTCTGAGATCTCAAGTCTAAGGAAAGAAGCCAGAGACTTTTTCAACTTTTTCATCGAAAGTTGAAGGGCTTTGAAATTTGTTCGTCCAATTTGGCTAAGGAGTTTCGACTCCTCTGCTCGGTCTGGTCCAAATTTTGGATTTTTTTGTCGACAATTCCGAATTTTCCGAGTCGGAAAAATCAGTCGGTTTTGGAAAAAATAAATGGTGTCTTACCGGCTTAAATATTTTTTGATGAGTATTTTTTTTGAAGATTTTCGTTTGTTTATCAATTTTAAAGTGGACTTTTTTGGCCAAAAAATGCCGCTTCGGCTAAAAGGGTTAGAAAAAAGATTATTCTTACCAAGGACCCATCCATTTTTGCAGACTCCCATGCAGACTGTTCCGATTTTCCAACTGTCGTAGCAGAAAATTTCACCGTTTTCAAGAGGCGGAAGTGGATCACAGGCATATTCGGCGATTGCTGAAAAGAAAATCCGTAAGAATCATAATCGTTACTTTGTAGCTTAAATTTTATTTTGTGTAAATAAATAAGAAAGACTTATAAAACCAATGATTTGCATTATGTATTTCAAGGACTCAGTCTTACGTAAAGCGGTTAAGAAGGATGTTTTGATTGAAAATTAGGTGAACAAATTAAGTTTTAGTTTTTTCGTTGTTTTTTTGGCAGAAAAAATCAGCTTTTCAAATTTTTTTTGAGATTTTTTTTTCGAAAAAAGTCAAATGGACAAAAAAGTTGCCGCATTTTTGACCAAAATTTTGGTCGAATTTCAGCACAATCAGATTTCTGCTTTAAGGCCCGTAGGCCAATCAGATTTCAGATAATATTTTTGGAAAAAAAATAAGTTTTTTTCGCAAATTTTCATTGACTCGAAAAGCACGATTTTTTGGGAATTTTTGAATAAAAAAAGAAAATTTGTAATAGGCAATTTTTAGAGAAGTTAATTTTCACAAAATGTGTACGCTCAAGCCTCTTCTTGCAAAAGATTTCTGCAGCTCTTAGTAACCGTAATCCAGCTACTCAAGCCTAAGTGAAAAAGCTCACTTTTCCAAGTGCTTGTTTGAAAAAACCTGTGTGTTTAAAAAAACTAACTCAGAATCCAAAAGTCGAAAAATCTCGAAAAATGAAGATTATGGCGGTTTAGAAACACGTCCCGAGCTTTGGATAATTTTCAAACCTCGGGAATTTTCTTTTAATCTTAGCTGATTAAATATATGTAGAATTTTTAAGGCTGACGCGGGGTTTTAAGCTTTCTTCGAACAGATTATGTTTTCTACTACTCTTTGCGTTTTTATAAGAAAAATTTATCTGGGCGGTAATTTGAAGAAAAAACACCAAAATTGTATTTTTTTGAAAATTTCTCGATACTTCTTTTCATCGTGATACCCATATTTTGTCCGTATGGGGTTAGGCATAAGTTATTATGATTTTCCCGGATTTTTTCGGGGTTGCGTTTTAAGGGTGTCAACGGCCTACCGCCCGCTCAAAACCTTTTATTCGGCCAGTAGGCCGTTCACACCCTTAAGACATATCCCTTAAAATCAAGGAAAACCATTATAACTGATGGTAAACCCCTTAATACTTCCCCATTTATAAAAGAAAATGAGTTTCCGAGGAGTTTTTTTGGTAGAAAATGACCTCAAAATAACTTTATTATTTTTATCAAAATACTTGACATTAAACTTGACAAAAAACTATCTGTAGCCACCCTCTTTTTTGACAATCTAAAAAGAAGCACTCGTTTAATGTCAAAATCAAATCAGTGCATTGTCATTCTTTACTCGTCAAAAACAGCCGCCTCTCGAATTCACGAGAAAATCAAATTGACCAAAAGACGCGTGAGAAGCCTAATTTGATCATGCTTTCTTGACATAAATCTGAACTCTGATTTTTTCGCACGTATGCAATTATTTTTCCTGTCAAATAAAGAACCCCTTCAACATGGCGTTTATCAATCTACTTACGTTCTGGAATCTCTGGAGGGTCTCGCTCAATTGATCGATCCAAGGTCCGGCAAACCCAGTCGGCTGAACAAAATAACATAATTTTTTATTATTTTTTTTATTCAAAACGAAATTTTTGATTAAAATTTTAGTTATGGTTTTTCTCAGTTGTTTATAAAAAAAATACAAAGGGATTAATTTGATAAACAAACGGAAAAAAAAGATGAAAGTGAAAAAAGTAAACATTCTTGTAACAATGCCCGTCCTGCAGATTATCAAGCTGGGAGAGGATTAAAATTAAGATTTCAGGTTTTTCCTTGGATCTTAAATGCTTAGCGTACAGACAAGAAAACTTGATTTTAATTGACTTGATCTTTTTTCATAAGATTTTTGACTGAGATTATCGAAAAAACTTTGATTTAATTTTGGCTCGAAAACCGGAGTAGAAAACCTATGTCAGGTTTTGGAAAGCCTTAATTTCAACCAATTCGATTTGGGCTCTTCGGAACCTGACTCAGGTTTTTAACACAGGTTTTCGAGTCAAAAATTTTAATCGAGAAAAATAGCATGACTTTGCAAAATTGAGTAATTGAGCAATAATTCTCAAAAAAGAGCGGTTTTTGAACAACTTTGTCAAATTATTCAAAACGAGTTTTTACAATAAATAAGTTTTTGCTTGACCTAACGACAACGCTCTATCTTAGCTCTCCATTTCTGAAGAGCGTTTACGTGAACAATTTCAAATTTTCATTCTTACCGGCATTGAGGATGTTTCCATTTGACAGAGTACAGTTAACTTCATCGGGAAAGATGTCTGTGAAGTCAGTCAAGGTTCGGCTTTGGGCGTCAAGAGGATTATAGTCTGATGAATGGGAGGCCTCTTGAGCTTTTGCAGTCAGAAACAGGATTTGTGATAGAAACAGTTTCATATTCTGAACGAAAATTTAAATTTTGAGAAAAAAAAGTTTAAATTTTATATTTTCCGAAAATTCGGAAAGATCTTCTTGTTTTCCCAAATTTCGGATTTAACGATAAGAAATTAATTATATTTTTTTCACAAACAATTTATTTTTTTTTCTATTTATTTTTCATAAAATATAGAATTTGAATTTTAGAAAAATTTTATTTATTGAAAATTTTATTTTTAAATGTATTTCTCAGTAAAGCTAATTCTTTAAAATATTTCATACAGTAAGAATACTGAATTTGCTTTGTACCTGTTCTGTTTTCCTATCCGCGTTCTTGTACAATTCTTAGTCGACTCTCTTTTTCGTATTCGTATTTTTAAAAAAAGGAAATATTCAAAGCACCAACAAAACAAAAAAGAATAATTACAAGGTTTGTTTTTGAATCAAAACGAATTTACAAAAGATAGAGAAAAAACTCGACAAGTAGTGATATGGTCGACCAAAACTTCTGAAAGCTTTTAAATGAGCCAAGAAAACGCCATCGAGCGAACGCAAATCGCCGCTTGCGCGAGATTGCGCGAGGGGGTAAGAGCGCCGCCGCGAGTTTTCACGATGCACGCGCGCGAAAAGACTGGCGCCCGAGCACTTTGGCGAGCAATCTTTCTGTTTTGCTGTATGCAGTGAACTATACAAAAAATATTACCTAGTTGTAGTTTTGGGCGTAAATAAAAGATGATGTACCAAACATCGCGGAACTTGAAGATCATCAGGATCAGTCGTAAATGTCACGAAAGCTGTGTTTTGTATCACAGGAAGATGAGACAAGAAATAAACCCGGTAAAAATGAAGTTCAATTACAATCAAAAATATTCACAAAAAATAAGGGAGTCTTATTTGAACTGTTCAAATAGGGACCCCCCAATCCTTTTGATCGTTTAAATTTGAAGGCGACAGAAAGGGGTGGTGGCAGGAACCGACAAAAAATTTCGACAAATTTTGCGTGGGCGGCTACTTGGCTACCGATTGACCGGTAAACCGAATCAAGGCTTCTGATTGGTTTTCAGCGAATCAAAGGCCTGGATTCAGCTTATCGGTAGCCGAGTAGCAGCCAACTCAGAATTTGTCGGAACTTTTTATTTGTCGGTTTCTGAAGCGACCCCCTAAAAATGGTAAGACTTCAGATAAGTCTATTGGAGTCGTACTATTTTTACAAACTGATATTAGAAATTATCCGATTCTTTTTGTCGATTAATGCGAACCTAATTCAATAAGGGCCAAGAATAAAGTTTGCGTTCTTGATCCTCGAAAGGATCTGTCAAAATAAAAACCTTCGCCGAGGACGGTCCGCTTTCCCCACAACTGACTCTCCATTCTCAGATCAAATAAGACACGTAATAACCGATTTGATTATCAAGCAGATTATTATCTTATTCCAAATCGAACTCAAATTTATTCATAGATTTTTAACTTTTTATATAATTTAATTATTTGGTTCGAAAATGCGACCCAAAAGCTCTGAAAAGGATGAAAAAAGAGTCAAGTGAGGTTAAAACAACCCCTTAGATAATGTTTCCAATCTTTTAACTACGTGAACATCTATTCAAATTAAATTACTAAAAACAACGACCGAAGATCGCGACCGAAGATCAAAGGTTGGATACCAAACACGAGAACAAGATGATCATTTTTTTTCTTCTGTCAATATTTCGTAAAAATGAAAAATTTGATATTTATTGGTTTCTTTCCATTTCCAAGGGCTAGAAGCAGATTTGGGGATCGGAGAGTTACATATTTCCGGATTACAGCTATCTTTTCAGTTGTTCAGGTGAACTCCAGGGCTCCAGCAAAGTGTTATCTTTTTTTGGGGAGTCAGACGATTATAATAACTCTTAAAGATTGAATAATTTGCTAAATTAATCAAACAAACTTAGGTACATTCGTATTCTAGAGTAAAATCTAGAGTGCAAATTGCATTTTGATTTCATTTATTGCATTTTGTCGAAAATTCTTAAAATTATAGACTCGAATTCTTGCTCTCAGAAAATTCGAAATTTCGATCCCTTTTCTACCATAATTCGATTTTTTCAACCTCAAGAAATAAAATAAAAGCTTATTCTAGCGCCTCGATAATATTCAATCAAAACTAAACCGGCAAGAAAGATGAAACCGTTCGAGGATGATTATGTCCATTTTTCTGACTTTTTGAACGATGAATTACAGTATTGAATTAATTAAGACTGACATAAAGAATAACTTAGAACATCAAAATTGGGTGAACATACCAAAAATGAACTTCATGTTGAAAAGCCGTTATCAAATCAAAGCCGCGGATCGAACTCGTGAGAACTTTCGGCTGCACGGCTCTGTAATTACATCGTTTTTATAGATTCGCCGCCAATCGAATTTTTTAAGAGGTGATGGATCAAGATATTATAGATTTCGCCCAGTTTCTCGGCAGCAAGATTAGGCTGAGATTAAGGGGGTAGCACCGGGATTGACCGAATTTTATATTTTTACGAATACGGATTATGATTGCTTAAAAAGTCACGTGAACAACTTCATATATAATTTTTGAGCCAAAAAAAACGTGGACGTCAAAATCCAAAGTGGATAATTGCCAATTAAAATCTTGAGTAACCGTTTATTCCTCCAACCAGTCTGGCAAAAATCATAACCCGGCTTTGAAATCTTAATTACCGCACTTATTCAGTACACAAGCCGAAATTAAGAGGTAGGTTTATGAGTCATGACGTAGCCTTTTTTATTAAAAAGAATTGCTGTTATTGTCCAGCTCAGTTTTTGAACTTGGCCAGATTCAAAGCGATTTTTCAATAACATGAAATCTTCCTAAGGAATCCTAGTTCCTCTCCCGCTCGCGAAAATTGCGAAAGTCAGTGGTTTCTATAAATATCCTACCTGTGTATCACATTTTCATCAATGTCATAATCCGGTAGTCGGGGGATAGATTGGCTAAAATCCGTTCATGGTACTTCTTACTCCTCTTCCAGATCTCACAAGATTGCGCTTCTTATCACGCCGCTTTACAAAATATTCCTCTTGTAATTTTCTAAGCAACTAAACGAGGGCCAATAAACCTCAGGTCAAAGAGGGAATAAATCAAAAAACAAAAGTGAAGGATGGTGCGAGGGTCATGAATTCGCACTTTTGATTATGACGAGAGCTGACAAAAACGTCACGAGATAAAGGCGATAACGAATTTAAGAACCAGTGTTTTATGTCTTTTTTTTGATGACATTTGTGGTCATCTAACATCCGACTCATGAATCTTATGAAATTAATGAAAAAAAATTTCTAAAATTTTTTTCCTGAAAAACTATTTTTCTCTGACTAATTTTTTGATAATCAATTAAAGATTGACTTCATAGAACATGTCATCTAAAAGGTTATTTTAGAAACAGTACTGACTTTCCGAGCATTAACACTGGCAATTTTTTTCTCGACCGTAACAACAAAATTTTTGATCGTCGCTTATGAAACAAATCCTCTTTATTCTCAACAATTGCCGTTGCACTTAACCCCTCGTCAGTCATAATCCGCAATCGACGCGTAAGTTGCTAATTTTTGCTCAAATCAATTTCGCCCCAAATAAGTGCAGAATCTTGGTAACCAAAACAGCGACAAAAAGCCGGGGATTTGTAAATTTTGACATGATCTTGTGGAAAAACCAAAAACATGATCTCTTACGTTTTCTTCCCCGAAATTCATTTTTTTTACATTTCGATTGAGAAATGTCCATTCAAAGCTGAAATTCTTAATTTTTTAAAATTGAGAAGCTCGTTTTTAGAATAAAGGCCCTTTATTAAGAAAATTGTTCAGAAAGGTTCAAGAAATTAGAAAATGCATTCCAGAGCGCGTTGAGGGTGTTCAATCGAATATTTGACTAATGGGACAGCTAAGAGAAATTATGTTCGAGAAGAGGGAATTTTATAAGTTTGTTTTTAACTTGAATCTTTGATGTAACGAGCTGTGTTCTTGATCAAAGTTATCTTCGCAAATGCCAAGAACTTGATTCTGATCGCGAAGAATCAAATGAGTTCAAAATCATGTTTTTCGCGATGAATTACCGAGGAGGTGTCAGGAACCAAGGAAATAATCCCGGCAAATCTTGCGTGGAATTTTTTAACCAATCAGAAGCCGACATTCGGCTTACCGGTCAATCAGCAGCCGAGTAGCCATCCACGCAAAATTTTCTGTGATTTTTTGCCGAATCGTGACACAACCCCGAGTTACCTGTGTAGAAACCCTGAGTCAGGTTCTGAAGAGCTTAAATAAAAAGCCGCGTAGCGGTTTCTCCAGTAGAAAAACAAAGAATTTTTTGATGATACCTCGAAGACGCGGCTTTTTATTCAAGTTCTTCAGAACCAGACTCAGGTTTACTGCACAGGTTTTCGAGGTAAATTGAGATCTTCTTTTTGGGATGGAATAGTTGATTCATAATTCTACTGTAGTTAATTTATTATACGTCGTTTACGTGTGAGCGACATTTGGTGAAACCGCCGGTAATAATCTGTCTCAATAATTGGTCGTGGTGAATGAAGGAAAATGTTGAAAAAAGATTTCTTCAATTGCGACTTAAAAGGTGAACTTTAAGGAATGATTCCTCAAAATTTTAATTCTGGTTCTGAATAATTTGAAGAGGGATTTTCACTCCAGTAGCTCACCTTAATCAGACGGATTTGCGATCTTGGACAGGGGATTAAGGCGAGCGTAAAAGTTGCACAAAAGTGCTTTAATAGGAACTCCATATCTCCGGGGCCTAAGCATCCTCCGTGCGAGATCCGAAAAGCGCAATCGGTCAATGTCGCATTTTTATCAAGCCGATTTCCTAGAGCAAGAAAAGAAAGCTTAAAAAATAAAGCATTCAGAGCATTTTCTTTTAGACTAAACAAGATTTTTGAACGAGAATGGATAGAAAATGAGCAAAAAAGCTGTAACCATGGTTTTCTCTTTCCTGAGTCAGGAATCTAAAAAAGCTTGAATGAAAGCCGCTAAGCGGCTTTTCTAGTAGCGAAGCCGCAAAGCCCCTTTATTATTTTCAACATTTGGCAGAGCATTTTTGCGGCTTCGTTCCTAGAAAGCTTGAACTCGGCTTTTTTCAGAACCCTGACTCAGGATTTCTTTTTCGGCTGCCAAGCCCATCCCCTTTTAGAAACTGTCGAATCAGAATGGGATGAGGTCAAATAACCTCAAAAGGAGCTCTTTATCAGCATATTTCTCTTGTTTTTATACTAGGGAGAGGTGAAAAACCGAGATATAAGTAATATCATACTACCGCAAACAAGAGCGATATAGAAACATTTTTACAACTCGTTGCGAAAATTTTTCGACGATATTTTTCCACTTAGACCACGTTTTGAAAATTTTAAAAGCTCGTAAACTACATTTTATCTTTTCCACGATTTCCGAGCCTGGGCCATCCATTAGCTGGGTTTTTGACCGAACATGAGCGGCTCATTTTTTCTTATCTGCCTCGTTTCTTCATGATCTTTACCTGGCAAACGAGAATCTTTTGATTTTTTTGCAACGTTATTGATAAGAAACCTTTTTCCAAAGATTGCATGAAATGACTCTTTTTTCGACCACGTTTTTTTCGCTTTTTATTCTCCTTACTGAAGCGTAATTTTTCAAATCCGCATCTTCTTCATATAACATTATTGCCTATCTTATCGAAATTCATTTTCAATTACTTTTTCACTGTAGAACAGGGGCATTTAGGAACTAAGATAAGATTGCGGCTGTGTTTTCGAATTTGTAGCAAAACAGTCCTTGAATAATTGAAACCAATTTACCCAAAAACAATGAAGACCCGCGGTTTGATGAGGTCCAACTGCGTTCAATTTCTTTCATCTGATATGAATTTATATTCATAACAGCATTTATTCTAGCAGTGGTGCTAATTCAATCAATGAAGATTCAAGGGAAAAAGCTGGGTAAAGGAAAATAACGTGGGGTGAGCTTTTCCGATGGGATTTCTTGCAGCATCCAATTTTTTTCTTTTCAGAGTTTTGATAAGATAACGACGCAATCTTTCCCAGAAAATTTTTGAAGAAACACTTTCTCGAAAATTCTTTTGTTAATGAGTTTTCGTCATGACAAAGAACTTCATGTTCAATTTGAGGACTTGACCTCAAAACTTATCTTTTCTTGGCAACACCGCAATTTCAAGTGACGTTTCCAACTCAGTTTCCCATTTTAGAGCTCAAAATTTTAGAACCTTGACATTCAAAAAAACGTGAGTTCGATGTTCAATAATCTCAAAGTCAAAAAGATGACACGACAAAAGAATTTCCCGAAAAAATGATGAATATCAATTTTGGTTCTCTCATGGTTGCATCACTGATGCACCATAAATTATAGTCCATAATTTTTAAGTCTACAGACTATTGGTAAGACAGTCTCCATATTTCGTTGTTTTGAGCATCAAAAAATTTGTACTATTTCGTCGTGAGCGTTTTTTTCTTCTCTTCTCTCAAAGTTGAGTAAGAAAAATTTCAAGATGATGGCTTGAGTTGTTGACAAAACAAGAGAAGATCAACAGAGTCAGAATAAGCATGGGACGTTGTTTTATTTTCATCAAGTTTCAGGGTCTAGCGAAACATAACTCAGACGACCTGTTCGTAATAAGCTCCCATCTGGCCTTTGGAGCACTCGTGACAGAAGAAATTTGTCATGCAGCTCAAACACCAGTCGTTTTGTCCTCTGTCAATATCGAATCGTGCGCGGGCTCGGGCCTGAAATTAAAAGTAAAAGGATACAAAAAGAAATCGTAAAAAAACTAACTAAGAGGCATCGATACCAAATAAGAATCTTCAGCGTGACAACAAAAATGCACAAAACAAGCAAGCCGTACTCATCAGGAGAAACACCATTTTCATCAATGTACGAGTTCCAGAATCGTACACCCATGAAGATGAACGAAACTTAGAAAGATTTTTTATAATTCTGAAGAAAGATTATCTTGGAGAATACATACCCGCAAGAGGAATACGGAGAGAAAACAGGTATCGCTTCGCTAACTCTGGTCTCCCTTGAAACTTGTAGATTTTTTGCTCAGCTATCGAAGAGGGCATCTTAAAAAGATAGTTTTTTCGTTCAAAGATTGGAACATACAAAGAACCATTTCCAGTAGCCCTCATTGAAGTCCAAAAGTCCTTTCTCTTTGGGTTGGTCAATCAGAGGAACATCATCAGGAGACTCCATTTTTTTTGAAAAAAATGAAGTGAAGACTTCTCTGCTTCGTTAGTGCCGTCATGGTTGTTAAGATTAAAAAGAGCTTTTGTTTGTGTTTTTTTTTCTATTAAACGATGCTCATGAACTCAAGCTATTTTCCTAGAGTAGGATATAAGTCGCTGGAGCGGGAAATTTTCAGGTATTTTTAAGCAATTAAGCTTACTACAAACATCACTTGGACCCGCAAAAACGGAAGGCGCAAGCCTTCTTGTCGTTCGCTAAAACATCCGCTCGCCGAGGAACGTTTGAATGTTCGCCGGATTATGGCTCTCAGCTATCTTTTTCAACCCTCTTAGCATGTTGATAATGAAGGAAGGGGATCTATTTGGGTGCAGACTTAGGGCTGCTAATTGAAGTGAGGGTGAGGTAAAGCGTGGAATTGAAAAGAGCGGGATATTATACAACACAGGAGAATTTGAAAACCGCGGGTTTCAAGGTTAATTTATTCGCAGGCAATCAAGTTTACCGTGGGCATCCGCTGGATTTTGATTCCCGGTCGCAGGTTTTTCTCAAGGTTAAATGAGTCTGCTTGTTTTTTGCTCAAAAAGGCAGAAAGACGACATCTTATTGGCTAAGATAAGTAGCAGCTGCTTCTGATTGGTTGGCACAAAGAAAAATGGCTTCTTATTGGCTTACTTCTGATATTTCAAAAAATACATGTTTTTGCTCTTTTTCGTGTAATTGAAACCAAAAGTTACCGTCGCCGTAACTCATGAATCAAATTATGCACCTTGAGCCGCGTGCAAAGACCTGAGGAACTTCTAAGACGTAAGAGCTCAAATCGATTATTGAGCATCACGCTTCAAATTTTCATCGAGTCAACATCCTCTGATCTCATTCCACGTCTAATTTCTCACGTGTCTGCGGTCTAAAACGAATAAAAAGAAGAAAACTATCGTGCCGAAAAAAGGGGTTTCTTTGTTATACCCCGATCGGAGGGGTCTTTTTAAAACGACATAAGATAGTGACGCCCTTATTTTCTCAAAGAGAGAAAGAAAAAATCGCGATTTTAATGGAAAATTTGGCTCTTGAAAAAAACGGTTTTTCGATCCCCACTCCCTTAATTCCTCCGAGAGGTCTCTAGAAACGGGAACAATGATAAGAGACCGGTTGCACTTGGAACCCGGTAGTTTTTTTACAAATGAAACTGCCAAACTTGACAACGAGCTCAGCAAATTACTCCTTATCGCCAATTGCTTCATGGTATCAGCTACAGTAAGAGTCCCAGAGAATCTTTTACTGTTTATCAGGTTTTTTACGTGAATAGAAATATTTGCAGTGAAAATAGCCAGGAAACTATTTGACAAAACAAAACCTCTCAAGAAGGGTTCGACTAAAGCACGAGCGTATAAGAACGGAAAGGATAAAGTCATCAGGGAAGCATCAATTTCAGAATTACATGGACGCGTTGTTTACTCGTCGCATAGAGGATCTAAAATGCCAAATTCTGTCATTGTCAAGATCAATTCGGCAAGCCACATTTTTTATTATGTTCTTATTTTTATTCTTGGGTTAGTGTTTGCAAACGCCAATCAATTTCTTGCAGCTGGCACAGCTATGCATAGTGTCTTTGAGACTATCCATATTGTATGGAATCAGGCAGCAGCCAAGCCAGCATCCGATGCAGACGCAACCAAGAGCGCCCATGAGATTTCTCGATCCAGAGACTTTTTTAACGGTAGACATTCCTTCATGCCCACAGCTTCGGCAGATACAAATCGTTGACTCCCGACCAAGAGTTCTTGGGTCCGTTGGTGGCTTCTGAACAGGCTGGGAAGAAACTAGAAATTTCAACTTGATCATCGTGTCATTATTCAAATGATCTTTACCGGTATCAAAAGTAGAGTCGTAAGCTGGATTCTGAGCCATCTTTTTCTTTCTCTTTATTCTTTGCTGAACGAATAACCTCAAATTCTGAACTAGTTCTATGTTCGCAGCAGGATATTATGCGGCAATTTTTACGATTTGAAAACTTATTAATTTTGTGAAAAAGCTTAGATCTTCATTTTCTATTTTCATCACCGGCGAAAACACGTCATAAAACTTCGGCTAATTGTGATTTTATCGTATATTTTATTGTAAAGAATGCGGGACTCAGCATTTTTAGCTATTCGAGCAACATCCGTTTTCAAGCGTATTTTTGTTGTCAACCCAGCTAAGAACCTAGAAATCATATTTATGCGGAATATTTTGCTTTTCCGTTCCAAGAACTTTCACGAAAATTTGGAAGCTCAAATCTGGTCTCGGTTATGATGCAAATCTTTGCGTCAATTGCGCACGTGTGCGTCCTAAATTCAGGGTGATTTTCTGGTGAACTGCCTGAACTGAATCAGGAGCGCGGACAGGAGGCCAAAAGGGATCAAAAAGACACAGCTGCGCCCGATGACACTCGCCACGCATAATTGGCGCCGTGGATCTCATTCTTTACTTTGCATCTTGTACTCCTTGCATTCACTTTCTACAAATTTAGGTCACAAAAACATGACGACACATCGAAGCTTCCCGAAATCGACTTTTAATTCAGTGTATGAACAACACGACTGCATATTTTACGGATATTTTTTCTATAAATTTGTATGGTGACACCCTTATTTTCATTTTTCATTCATTTTTAATTCGATTTTTATCTGAAATCTTACAATCGCAAATAAGGGTGTCATCAGACTAGAGACATAAAATATTGTTTTACTTATCACGTGACCCCGAAGGACCTTTTGGAGGACTTTTCTCCTGGAAGACAAATATTCCTGGAAGAATATTGAAAAAATTGGTAAATATACTGACACCCTTAATTTTTTTCCTCGATTTTATCTGAATTCTTAGTTATCATTTAAAAAAATGAAAAATAAGGAGGTCATCAGACCAGAGTTCGAAATTCCCGCGAATTTTTGCGGGTGCGGGGGAGCGGGAGCAAGGTCGAAAATTTTTCGCGGGAGCAGGGGGAGCGGGAGCAAGTCCAAAAATTTTGCGCGGGAGCGGGGGCGGGGAGGAGGTCTAAAAATTTTGCGCGGGAGAGGGCGGCGCGGGAAAAAGGCCTGAAAATTTGCGCGGGAGCGGGGGGCGCGGGAAGGATTCCCCCTCTCTTTTGCTCCCGCGGGAGCCCGCGGGAAAGAAAAATCAACGTGAGGGCTGGTTTAAAAAGGTCTTCACTCAGGAAGAAGCCTGAGTCAGGCCCCTTAGATAATTCGACAATTGAGAAATAAAATTGAAAAAATAAATAAAAACCATAACAAAGCTAAGAACATGAACAATATTAATTTCACATTGAATGGTGGTGGGTGGGGTTGGGGACGAAACTAAGATTGATCAACTAAGACTTCCCCGGCCTTTGTCACTGGGCTCGGCAAACTGAGCTGTGTAAAAACCTGTTACAGGTCCTGTTTCCTGTTTTTGGGGAACCTGTCTGAGTACCTGTGTAAAATCGGGGGGAAAATTTATCTAATGCTGTTCCTGTTCCTGTTTCTGACTAAAACAGGCCTGTTTTTTCCCGCTCAGGTCCTGACCATAGACAGGTTCCTGTGTAACCTGGTCAAGAACTGCATAAATCAGGGAAGATGTTTAAAGAAATCAATAGCGAAAGACGTATAATTTATATAATATACGGTATAAAGAGTTAACTAGTCAAAATAACCGATAAATTCGCGTCTTTTTGTTTTCTTTTGCAATATTTTTCACAGAAATATCCTGTTTTTTGGCCTGTCTCAGGGCCTGTTTCCTGTTTTCTGACCTGCTCAGACCTGTTTAGGCAGGCCCTGACCTGTGTAACCTGTTACCTGAGCTGTGTAAAAAAACCTGCCTGTGTACCTGTGTAAAATGTGGGACAGAATTTTTTTTTCCTGTTCCTGTGTCTGTTCCTGACACAGGTTGCCGAGCCCAGCTTTGTCAAGCCCCTTAAATTTAAAAACCTTCTTCCCCGCTGCTCCCGCAGCCCCGCGGGAGCATTTTTGAGTTTTCGCGGCGCGGGAAGGGGCGGGAAGAAGGCGGGAACGAACAATTTACGGCGGGAGCGGGGGGGGAGGGGGAAAGATCACGAGAAAATCATGAGGGAGCGGGGGGGAGGGGGAAAGAATATCCAAATATCTTGGGGGAGCGGGGGGCGCGGGAGAAATTTTGCTCCCCCCCGCTCCCGCGGGGGCTCGCGGGAGCTTGCGGCGCGGGAAATTTCGAACTCTGCATCAGACTAAAGCCATATTTTAGAAAATAAGAAAACTCAATCGCGGTTCCCTGTATTGAACGCAAAAATTTTTAGTGAAAATATTTAATAAATAAACTGTACCAAAGATAGTAAACGGTATGTTCTTTTCGTCGTTGAGACTGTTGTTTCTCAAAATATAAAAAAAAAAACAAAAAAATCGCCATTGCTTGAAGCGAACAGCTCAAAAACGCGAGGTGCGAGATAAAAAGCCCGGGATCAATCGCAATTTTCTTATCACCACTTTTTAGCGGAAGCAATGTGAGAAAAGGTCTAAGGAGAACAACTCGCATGCCCCCTGATTATAGCAAATTAGCGGGGATAACGTAATTTTGTAATTCCGTCCTCTGGTAAAATTATTTCCCTCATCAAACTTTATCTCTAAAAGAGCCGCTAGAAAATTCCTAGAGGGTGAGTCGACAAAAAAATCTCGACAAATTTTGCTTGGGCGGCTACTAGGCTGCTGATCGACGAGTTCGCCGAATGCCAGCTTCAGATTGGATGAAAATGTCCACGCAAAATTGGTCGGCATTTTTTGTCGGTTCCTTACACTTTCCCTCCTATACGGGGGCTTCTACAGAACAAGCCCACGTTCAAAAAATTTTCTAGTGTTCTTAAAACAAAACGTTTCGAAATTACAGGGATGCCTTTCCAGCTGATCAAGTGTCTTCTTCCAGATAAAACGTGCATAATAACAGTACATATCTTCAGGAAAACTTCAAGGCGCTTTCAACCCACGTTTTGGAGTCCAAAATTTGGACCAAGTTATGATAATACAACTTGGCCGTGAAATAATAAATACGAACTTTGAATAGAAAAACGATGACGCCGTTAATTTAGAATCACTCTCGATGACATCAACTGGGCTCAATATGGATTAGCCTGGGACTCCCGGGAGTTTTCGATTTCCGATGCAAATGATGAGTTCCCTGTGCCCGTCCAATCGACCCTGATTTTCCGAATGATGAAATCGAAGTCTTGTTTATTGATGCTGATTTTATTGGAATTTATTGATCAGGATCAAAAATTTTAGCGACAGATTCGTAGATGCCTTTCCAGTCGACGGATTGAACGCCTTCTTTTGCTTCTTGGTACATGTTTACTACGCCCGTCTGAAAAATATATTGATTCGACAATGAAATTGACGGTTTTGAAACCAAAATTGTAATTGTTGGTTTACCTGAAATCGCTGATAGAATTCTTCAAGATCTGGGCCAGAGTCAGAGCCACCAGATTTCATTGAGCGGCCAATGAGTCCACTAAGACAGTCAGACGGAACTGTATCGTAACGATTTCCTAATGAATAAAATTAAGAGAAGCCATAAATAAAAAAGGATAATTAAATTATGTATTTTTTGTGATTTATTTTTATTTGGAAATAAAAGATAACGGCGATAGTCATGCTGATGGTGAAGTTGACAAGTGAAAAGAACTACGTTACCGTTCAATATATCCTGACATTCTCTGGAAAGAACTGTGTGTCCTTCATCACTGAAGATCTCCACGAACTCGTCAAAATTGCAAGTTTCTTCGATGCATTCTCGCTCCAAATTGCCTCCCCAGAGCTCTTCCAGCGACCAAGCCCCTGAAGCTCTCCGATTTCTTTTCCAAAGAAACGCAAGAGCTTCGTCCTTTGGAATAATCACGGATGCCGCGATCGCGAAAAGAAGAAGAAGAACGCTCCTCATTTCGCCTTTTCTGGCTTTCTCTCTTTTTTGAGAAGGTGTTTGTTTGAGCTTGATTTTATTTGGCCCGAGACTTCTATTTATAATGGGAAACGCAGCAGGTGATGACGAATCGAACCAAATCACGTGGGCTTCCTGCTGAGCATGGAAAATTAACGAAAATATGCTCTCAAATCCAACTGTTTCTTTCCAAGACGTGAAATTCATTATGAAAAAATGCAAGAATAAATCAATCTTAGTTTCATCATCCTTTTTCTAAAAAAATACATCACGCCAGGCTGGACAAATCGAATCAGTTTCGTTCTATTACACCCGTTACCCCTCCTGACCATGAAACGCATGTTGCCTGGCTGGTGTGTTTATCCAGACAGCCAACGTATATCACATGAACTTGAATAAACTACCCCTCCAAGCTTGTTGCCAGCTCATCTTCAGCGCAGTGTTTTCTCGGAGGAGAAAAATTGACGGCTTTAACTTTTTCCTCAGCGCTGGAGAATTTGATAAAAATCACAGTGAATTTTTTGGCCGCTGAATACCCTTGTAAATAGAGAGATAGGATAAGGATACCATACCTTATCTCTAGCCGCATTCGCTTGTTGAAGAAACATGATAAAGTTGTATTAACAACTTTTATATTTTCAAGATATTGTTTCCAAGATTACTCCCCGCCCATCGATATTCGTGAAAAATTTCGAAATTCGCAGCTGAGTCAGGATTCTTGGCTTAAAATTTTGAAGTTTTTTTTTTACTGTAAAAAAAAAACGCGAAAAAACTGGAACTTTTCGTGGAAGAGATAAGTCAGTTTTTGGGTCGATAAAAAGAACTCTCATTTAGACGCTTTTCTAAGTGCAAAAAAATGCATTTTTCGTCCGGGAAATAGCTCGACAATGCGCGATAAAAACGCAAACTGGTAATTTCCAGCTCAAGCAATCAACGGGTTGAAATTTGAGAAGCCCATTTCCGACCCAGAATTCGAACTCTTTTACTTTCAATTACCGATCCGATTCTTCTATTTTTTGAAATTCAGAGTTCAAAATTCTAGTCATCTGCGTCAAATCCAAAAAACAGTCAAAAGTTAACTTCGTCGTTTTCATCATTTTTGCGTAAAAACGTAATGTTTATCATTAGTTCCACGTAAGAATAAGGCCCTTCCCCTTGATAATTTCGCCCAAACGTGTGTTCTTGATAAAAAGTCAATGCACATACATACATAGTCATTTGTAAGTGCGAATTTGCTCGATAGACATAAGCAGAACTGTCAGAAATGTGCTCATCGGACAGCAACTGTCAGTTGATTAATTTTACTATTCAAAAAATTCAGATTATTGACTCCTTATCCATTTTTTAAACACCTTCCAGTTCAAAAAAAGGCTTAAAACCAGATTCTAACGCATTAAACCCGGTAAGGTAGCTGCCAGCTGCGCGATTTTTTGCCGTCATAAGCGGCTGCCTTTGCATCAGAGAGCCATGTCATTGAAGCTTTATCCTGTTTGTTTGTTTTTACCGAAACGGCCCCCATGGAACGTCTAAAGGTTTAAAATGCTTCTAAACGTTCTTATATTTTCTCGTATAGATCGTGTTTTGCGGCGGATTTCATGAGAACGAGGGCATAATTTTCGTTGCGGAAAATAATATTGAAAAATATAAAATATGATTAAATTCATATATTTTGCTAAAAACTGCGAGAAAACCAACCGTTCCGAAGCAATTTGGAATACAAAATTTTCTTAAAAACAATATTTAGATGCAAGTGAGAAATTTTTCGCGAAAATTTCTTTTGATTTTTTAATTGTTATTGTAAATTGGCAAATATTTTCGTTTGGAGGTGCTAAATACACTTGTCACTTTTATTTCAGAAGGGGGTAAATATAAAAACTCTTTAAAAAATCGATCGAAATTTGAATATTCCAACATCGCCAGGATTTCATCAAGCTTTCATGAGAGGAAATCACAGCTTCTTTCTTGATAAAACAAAATCCTTCAGCTGTGACAAGTCTGAGAATCTTAGTTAAACGATTATATTCATAAGCCTGTTTATACAACACATTTTTTTCCGCTAGAGATACCTTTTTTTCTCTCTTGATTAAGGACCCCCCCGGCAACAATTTTCGAAAAATCTTTTTTCGGAATTTCAAAATTTTGACCCCGGAAATGGATTCTACTGGTCAAAAAACGATTTTGAGGCTCCATTTTTTGAGGGTCTATCTCGTCTCTAACACCCTCAAAATCGCGTTTGAAAATTGAACTTTTTGACGAAAAATGACGAAATAGTCCAAATTTTGCTAATTTTTTGGATTTTTATTGGTTAAAAATTACTCCAGACAAGTTTTCATGATGCATTTAACTTCGAAGCACACTCAGAAGCCAAAATATGGCTGTTTTGAATTTTTTGATTTTTTGAGGAAAATTGTTGACCGGGGGGTCCTTCAACAAACCCTGCACTAGAGCGGGGCGGTCATTTTATAAGAGTATTGAAACTTACAAGAAAAGGCCTAACACTTGATCTTTAGATGCGCTAAGCCGAGATCATCCCGGATCAATTGAGCAATGTTCGACTTTCGAGAAAACAGCAAGCGTGAGTAAAACGAAGCCGTTTAGATTTGTTGTTGTTCGGCTGAGACTGCTAATACGCGAGGATTTCCGAATTATTAACTAAAAACGAGTCGAAAATATCTGTTCAAAAACAGGCACGATTTCTGAGAAGTCGCTGTTTGATTGGCTCGAAAATAAGCCAAAATTTTGATGGAAAATATTGACCAATCAGATTTCCACATTCGAGCCGTTGGCCAATCAGATTTCAGAAAAACATTTTGCGAAAAAATTTTTTTCGCTTTTTTCGGGGCCCCAGGAAGCGATTGTTCCATTTCTCGTTCCTTTGTCACCTTTTTTTGAGATATCCCCTTAATCACCTTTTTCATACGTTGCTCGGGACTAATCCCCAGTTCTTCGAGCAGTACGAGCTTTGCGTACTAGCTGCTATCGCCGTCTTTTCACATTCGCGTCGGTTTTATCAACCCTTTTTCGCTCCTTATCACTCCTGGCTCCTACGACTTCTCCCTCGATAAACGGATACACAAAACAAATCTGTTTTGATTCAAATGTAAATGCATCTATCGCGGAACAGACAACAAGGGACCAAAACGACGATAAAGCCGGGGAGAGGTGGCTGATAATAAAGTGTACATATATATAGTGGGTTCCGGAGTCTCTTGCTAGAACTATGTACGAGGGAAGCTTTGGGCTTTTCGAGGGAGCTGGAAAGGATGAGGAGAGTTAGACATTGATAGACACGATGCAGAAACGCCCTCTTTAAACTAATAGGTGGCAGTTTATTCGACGCCTAATTACCCTTTGGATCCCGTATCTTTCTGTCAAGAAAAGGTGTTTGAAACGGCTTGAATCAGAAGCCACGTAGCGGCTTTTTTGAGAACAAAGCCGCGGAGTGACTTTGCCATAATTTTAAAATTATTGTGATGTTTATTTCGGCAAAGCCGCTTCGCGGCTTCGGTCTTTAAAAAAGCCGCTACGCAAATATATTTTTCAGACCCTGACTCAGGTTTTCTTTACAGGTCTTGGAGTTCAGTCCTAGCTCCTTTTTTCTATTTTGGATAAAAATTGGAGCATCTATCCGAACAGCTACGGTGTTTCGTTTATATAATCAACGTGCGACGTAAAAACCATTTTACAGATTTTCGTTCCTGCGAAGAAGGCGCAAATATTTAGAGTTCGAAAAATTTAACATCTGCTTTTGTCTCGCCGAATTTTCAGTTTTGACTTTTTATGAACGGAAAATTCAGACCGGAAATTCAATATTTCAAAAAGTTCTGGATGTTATGTTCGTTTCGGATAACTTTCTCGACGAAACATGTCTTCAAGCATGAAAATTGAACGATTGAAGGTACTCTAGAATTATTGAAAGACGTGAAATACGGCTAAAAGTGAAGATTTTCGTGGTAGATTTTGGCAAATTCGCGTGGTTGAGCAGTTGTTACGTCAAACTTAATTTCGCCAGGCGAAACCGGATTTCTAACATCATCGTTTGTTTTTTTCGATTCTAGTGCGAGATTATTACAGCTTCCGTCTTCTGCGTGGAGCTTGATTTGATCTTGGCGCAATTGGCTTTTTAGGGATTGTGATGTGGATCATTACATGCATTTTAAGTGTTCAAATAAACATCGAGGAGATTTTCCCTAGGAATGAAACCCCCTTAGCACCCCCTTAAAACCATCTAATCAGTAAACCAGTTGGTCGCGCTTCAAATTCCCGGTCAGACAAAAACATAAACAATCTGTCAATTTATACAATGAAAAGATTTTTGACCTAACGTGTCCTCCTTTCGAATCGATGGATTAAAAATTCTAAAATCAAACAATTTATAGTTTATACTTTCATCCTTCTTTTATGAGTCATAATCGTATGGAAATCTATAATCCGCTCCTTTCAAAAAATCTTCCGTAAGTTTCCATAATTGGCTTTGGATTTCATCGAGTTTCATTCTGTTGCTTCGAATTTTGACTGGAGCTTCTTTCAAATCAGCATAGTATTTTCCAGAGGTCAAATTTGGATCGCAAATGCACATCAAACTTGTTTGTGCTCCCTTCTTACGGGCTTTTTTTCAATTCAGACTCATTTTGATAAGGAACCTGAAAAGAAAACCTGAGTCAGGTTTTGAAGAAAAAAAAAATAAATATCCGCGTAGCGGCTTTTTCTGAAGCCGAAGCCGCAAAGCGGCTTCGCCATTATTAAGATATAAATTAAATTTAGTTTGCGAAGCCGCCTTGCGGCTTCGTTCTTCAAAAAGCCGCTACGCGGCTTTTCATTTTTTTCTTCAGAACCTGACTCAGGTTTTCAACCTCAATTCGCCCCCTTATTTTCTCTCGAAAAGATGGGTCTAATTACTTTCGGGAGACAACTCCTTGATTGTGATGAGCGTAATTGACGAACTTGCCACGCCTCGGGTTTATACTCTTCTAAAGAATCGACTGATAACAACTCAGCGGGAGATGATGCAGTTCGAATCGCGCGATTACTGAGTCTAGGAGGATAATCGCGGATTATCGATTCTTAGACTCCCATTTTTTACGTTTTCAGACAACCCAAGAGTCATTTTTGCTAAACGAAAAAGCACCAATCCTGAGCTGGAGTCCGGAAGCAACTTTTGCAGCACGTGAAGATGCAGCTATGATTAAGGTTTCAGTCACGTTCAATGAGGAAATTTCAGGGTCGGGGGATATCGTTACCAAATTATGTTGTGTTCAATTTCAATTGCCAATTTGTCACGTGGGCATTGAATATTTTTTTCAGAAGACTTTTTACTACAAGGGGGTCTTTCAATAACGACCGGGCTGATTTAACTGATTGACCAACCAGAGCGCAGAATCAAGCATCAATGATGCTGCATCATGATGGCAATTATGAATTCTGAAGACCCCCTTGTAGAAGATAATAAGATGGATGACCCGTGTGATGGATAGAGAAGCCATAACTTGTGACTCAAGATCCGGAAACCAATCTGGCTTTTGATCCCTTTTTAAAATCTTCTCAAGCAGCATTGCTTGAAGGAATCTCCAATCCGGAAGTATCTCGGACAGTTGTTTATGCTTTCTAAGACAAAAGCCTTCAAAGGGACTCTTTGACTCTTTGAAGTCACTTTTTTGGAGTTCTGATGAACTCTTTTGCCCGAAATTCACGATCCCTTAATTTGACTGGAACCTTGTCATGATAAGAATTTGCCGCAGCAGCCGCACTTTTCTTTCACTGTCCCTCCGATATTCGTTTCTACCGCGCCAGGGTGGAGAGATAAAACTGTCATCTTGGGATACTTCCTTGCGAGTTCTCGCGAATACAGGATGTTTGCAAGTTTGCTTTTTGCGAAGGTGGACAGTTACAATTTTTTTTTATCCTTTTTGATTGGCTAAGGCTTCAATTTCAAGCTTCTTATTGGCTCAAACGTAACTAAACGATACTTGCCTTATTGTTTCTTAAGGAACTACTAACGACCAATCAAAAATAGTTATTCTTCGCATAAGCCAATAAGAAGCCAAGAAAATCATCATGTCATCATGTGCCCACCCTAGCCTCTCAGCATAAGCCTGAAAAGAAGGGCCTTCTCCAAGCGCTCCTTTTGCTGATTCTTCCGAAGCATACGTTTTCCAATAAGAACCATCACCCTTTGCAGATCCATGAGCACCACTAGCGACAAAAATGACTCTTGAATCTTCCTTCAAAGTGTCGTTCTCAAAAAGTGTTTGGAAAAGAAGAGCATGCGCAAAATGATTGATAACTTTTTTGAGATACAAATTATTGTTCAAAAATGCACGATGTTTCATGCTGTTCTTATCGTGTAAGGGAGTTATGGTACATTTGCTTTGGTTTCAAATTGAATGAAACATTCTTTTTGTCAAAAATAGTATCTCTTTCCTTGAACAGAATTTGTTAAATACAGCCAATTTGAAGGAAAATAGACAACGCCTGCATTCGCCACCAAGATGTCAATAACAAGGCTTTTACTGGATATCTCTTCTGCTGCTCGAGTTACTGATGCTTCAAAAGAGATCTTGGAATTTTCAGGCCATGATTGTTTGCTCAAAAAGCTCAAAAATCTCTGCCTAGATCAGTTAAGTCCATCTGGATCGTGACCACGTCAGCGTCCGGGAAATTGGATAGAATATCATTTTTCGCGTTTTGCATTTTCTGAACATTTCTAAAGCGAAAATCTACAAAACTGAGAAAAAACGCCTACCGGCAAAGAAGAATCAGTTTTGCACCACGTTGAGCGCACAAAATCGCCGTAGCCAGTCCAATTCCATCTTTTTTAAGATCCCAAAAATAGAAAAAATCGGCAAAAATTTTCTAAGTCGACCAATTCCTGAAGCACCGGTGATTGCTACAGTCTTTTCGTCCAGTCGATGGACTATTTCTTCGTCAAAAACTGGCGATCCACAGCAACCCATGTTCTTTTTTTTTCTTTTTAGGGCGCTTTTCTCTTGTATTGTTTTTCAAAATGACACAGTTTTTTATTGGCCAAATGACTCAGGCTTTAATTTTTGAAAACAAATTCACGATACGCTCTAGAATTCTAAACCAGAGTTTAATTTCAAGTTGCTATTTTGAAAGGTGCAGATTTCATTATTCATTTCATCGATTCTATTTTTAGCTGATTTCAATGTGAACCGTTTGTTTTGAGTTGATCTAACCCAGATAGACCAGCTCATTGAAAAAATTCAAGCGCCTTGATGAAACTCATAATACCACTCAACAATTCATTCACACCTTATCACTCTTTTCTCCTGTTGTTCAAATTCCACCCGCAAAGGATGATAAGCAAAGCTAAAGGAAAAACTAACTTGTTTTCTCTCTTCCGAAATTTCGGATTATCAAAATTCCTAATTATGAAAAAAAGGAAGCAAAAGCTGATTTATCAATTGTTCTGGAGAAAATCAGTAATCGAAGATGCAAGGCTGATGCGATAAAGAATGAGGATGCGATTACTTTCATTTTTAAATAAAGAGGTTTAAAAATATTGAAAATTAGACGCAAGAAAAATTGATGATACGGATCGATTATGCAAAATCTAATTGAAAAAACTCCGTTCCAAGAAAAGAAGCCTCTCCATAAAACAGCACTCCATTTAAACCCTAGCCAGCCGAAAAAACAATTTATTTTTAAACACAATAATCAGGAGACACTTCAAAAACAACAGGAATCCAATTCTCAACAGTATTACCGATTACTTCTTGATTGACAACCTCGTCTCCTTCCAAGTCGAGCCGTTGAATGGCATATGGACGGTTATCGCCAGAGACAATGAAAATTGAATTGCTCATCATTATTGCCGACCCAAATTTATCAGCCTGAATTGAAATAAAATATCGATTTTGCTATTTGAGACTTACGTAATGAAGATTGCCGATTTTATTCCAGTTGTTGTTTTTAAGAAGCCAAATCGCTGTAAGCGTCAACCACATATCATTATCTACTTCTTCTTCTCAGAAGTATACAATAAGCCTAGGTATCTGACAAACGGATCTTTTCAGTGGGGACACCTGGGTCGAATACCAAGGGTTTTCGAACTGATTTTTTGATATTAATTAAATTGATACGCTTTTGCGCTGATTTTGGATGGAGGGATCGATTCTGAAACGTTCTAATACCCAGAATAATTGCATACTTCCTTGTCCTCCAGCAAGCAAAAGACATCCGCTAGGTAGGCCAACCAAAACATGATAAGAAATTGAACTTGAAAATTTTAGAAAAATTTAATTTTTTTTAAATACATCGGGAAATCGGTTAAAGACGACCAACCATAGGAGTTGAGAGTCTCCACTTTATACGCACCATCGCCCCGGTAACACCCAACAGTTGTTGGCTTTTCTTTGTAAAGACCAAGCTTGCCTCCGTCATGTGAATATTCCGGGTCATATGTCGTTTTTCTATTTTCTCCGTCGAAGACCTCGCACGGAAAGCAAATTAATGCTTTTTCGCCATTGTCAATCGTCAGTGCTGCAGACGGATACGCGACTCCGTATTTCAATGTTGTTGACTGTTCTATCCACTCGCATCCGACCAGTTTTACAATCTTACTTTGATTTTTCAAAATCGAAACTAAATCATTACTTTTTGAGAATTTGTGTATCCACCAAAGATAAAGAGCTCGTTCTTGACAAGAGCATGAAGAGCTAGTCGAAGAATGTCGTCAGAAGAAGCTGTGATTGTTGCTGCCGTCTTTGTTGAGCCATCGGATGAAATTGAGAATGCTTCGCTCAATTTTCTTCCCATTATCAAAATATGCTTGGAGAAAAATATTGAATTTCACGGCAAAAAATGTGCAAAAAGTATAATTTGAAAAAAATAAAAATTTCTCAATCTGTTTTTCTTAAAAAATATTGTCAACATGTAATTCAGAGTTAAAGAATTAACAGCTCTGCTACCGATCTTGGTTGACATTCTCTTGTTTTGCAACTTCTTCTACAGCTTTCCAACTGAGCTCTATTTTTCGCCATCACCGTAGACCGATCCTTTGTCTGGTAGACAAATGTAATCGTGCATTGTCGCCAGCACTCTCTGTCAATTCCGGAAGGAGAACAGCGCTCTTCAAAATGCTCCGACTTGAGTGCCAACATCAACGGTACAAAATGCAGAAAAATGGTTCTCATACTTGATTTTTTCTCAAAAATTTATTTTTTTGTTGTTAAGCGATAACTAACTGCGGTTGTTATTGATTCTATGGAAAAAAATGATTCATAAACCTTCCTCAAATAGTCCAAAGTGCAGTTTAAACAGAACTTAGCGCTTTTTCTCATTTTCTACTCAGATGTCTACGTTTGCCATAAATTCTCTTCCATCAATGATGAATTTTCTAGAAAAACCTTGTCCAGATAATTTGATCTTCTTGTGAATAAAAGGGATGAAGAGCCTAAAATCTACAAGATATGACGTTTTGACCGCTTTGATTTTTATCTTACTCTACTAGATTACAAAAGTATCCACTGAAAATCTCTAGGTAAAAAGAAGGGTTATTAAATTAAGTCATTAATCACGTCATGGCGTCATGCTTCAGAGAATTGAAATTAAATTGTAAAATTCGAAAACATGAAATCTGAGTAATCAAATATTATCTTGGAGAGAGTTCGTTTGTTTACCTTGGCTTGCAATTTTTTTCGGCATTTAGTGAAAAAAATGGCATGCGGATCTGAATTGAAATTTTTTATTTGGATCCTAGGTAAGATAATTATTATGCTAGTTTGAGAGGTTAAGCAAGAACGCCTTAAAGAAGATTTATTTTTTTGCTCAGAGTCTTTAACCTTAGCCGGCCAGGGTGCACCATCTATGGAACAGGGGTCAAAAATTAGGTCTCCCACCGAAGTGATTTTGAGTTTCGAAAAACGGAAGAAACTGTAGGGCAATTTATCGATAAGCTGCCCTTACTTTACCTTTCGACTACCCTTGGTTAGGGTTAGGGTTCGAAAAAAGGCTTATTTTGAAAATAACTGCATGCACCATGTATGGTGCATTGCTACAATGGCGCCGACACCACTGATGGTGCTTTTGTCCGGTAGGCAGTATTTTCGCCGAAAAATTCGCCGAATAGTCTGCCTCTTTGAATTGGAAGACTTTATCTGATGCTGAAACCCAAACCTTAATCCGCACCCAAACCCAAGAGCAAACTACAACCCAAACCCGAACACTAACGAAGAACCCAAAAACAAACCAAAAGACGTACGTAATAGACTTTGAGTTGAATTTTTCAACAATATAAGCATGTGATGCACCACTCATGGTGCATTTGGCCGGTAGGGTCAGAAATGACATTTTGGCCGGCTAAGGTTAAAAATGAGCAAATATCAAATAAAATGAAATCAACTGAATCCTTATGGTTTTCCCTTACAGGTTATTTTTTCATCTCCGGCTGCGAATATGCATTAATTTTACCAACAATCAACTCCTATCTCGTCTTTCTCGGCGCCCCAAGCTACTTTCTTGGTCTTGTTTTTGGAGCATTTTTCTTTTCCGGTCTCACTTTTGCGCCAATATTTGGAGCAATTACAGATAGATTACAGAATTCGAAGTGGCCAGCTGTCTTTGGAATTCTTTGTGCTATTGGAGGGAATATTGTTTATATTTCAGCGAAAAATGCGGTAAGCGGAATTTTGATCATTCCGATGAATAAATATTTTTGACTTAGAAATGGCTTATTCTGGCCCGATTCATCTCCGGCGCTGGTTTTTCCCTCGACGGCTCATTCATGGGCGCTCTTAGTCGACTTTACCCGCCATCAAAAAAAGCAAAAATCTTCGCCCTCTGCCTTCTTCTTCGTCAAACTGGAGTCACTTTCGCGCCTGGGCTCATCGTTTTCCTGCAAAAAATCAGCTTTCGTTTTCTCTGGACGGATGTCAATCGCTACTCAGCGTCTGGTTTTATTATGGCGTGTTCGTGGAGCTTGTTTTTTATGATGTTTTTGATCTTTTTCGATGAACCAAAAGCTGAAGAAAATAGTGAAGAAAGTCTTGAACTTGAAAATAAAGGTAAAAGTCGCGAGAAAAAGATTAAGGACCCCCCGTCAGCTTTTTCTTTCAAAAAATACAAATTTTTAAAAACGCCATATTTAGGGATTCTATCGGGAAAACGGCGCGCGGCGCGGCCCTTCGCACCCAAAATTGTCCGATGCTATTTTGTTATTTTCGACATAATTTCAGTCAAAAACATCATAAAATAACTAAAAATATGACTCTCATTCATAATTTACTCTCAAAAGTATTTTTTCGCCGTTTAACGATAGAAATCATCAAAACTCGTAGAAAAGTACTTTTTTATGTGCTCAAATAAGCTTCAAAACTCCTGATTTTTCGATATGTCAAAATATTGACCTTTTGCCAGAATCTGTAAAAATTTTAAGACTATGCAATAAGAACAGCCTTCAGAAATTGCTTGTAACTGAGTGAAGGTGGCGCCGCAGTAGTGCATTACGAGGGGCGCGGAGCCAAGAAATGAGTTTCTCTTACTTTTCTTCAAAATCCTTAGAAGATTTCGAGAAAAAGTGAAATTGGATTACTCTCTTTTTTTTCCCAGAAAGCCGAAAATGCAGACATTCCATCACAAATCCGAGAGACTTTTTCGAAAGGGAGAAACAAGGTTCGACGAGGAGAATCCTACAGTCGGTCTTGAATGTCTGGCAGAAGAAGGCCTGGATTCAGACGAAGAGCTCCCGATGTTGCTTAATGATTGCGCAGTTCAGACATCGCCAGGCAAGTGAATTAATTAAATAGTCGAGCAAGATAAAAAAGGCACCTGAATAAGGTGCCTCTTGTTTTTTTTTATAAAAGAAATTTTTGGGTATCCCAAAAAATCTAACAAAGCTTTTAGTGAAGGGAATGTTGCCAGATCAGATTCTTGAGAATCCTCAAACGATTCCAACTCTAGATTCGTCTGAAATGATGGCTGAAACAATTCTGAATTTCACAGGTAAGAATAAAGAAAATTAAAAAGAATCAAGACAATTATATTTTTGGGGCTCCCAAATTGGGTACCCCAATAATATCGGATCATTTTATAGTTTTTTTTTGGGGTCCCCAAATTGGGTACCCCAATAATATCGAATCATTTAAAAGTTTTTTGGGGTCCCCAAATTGGGGACCCCAATAATACCGGATTATTTTTACTGAATTTTTCTTTAGAAACGCCTTCACAAGAAAATGTCGCCTCATGCTCAGCTGTTGGAAAGAAAAGAAAGCGACAAACGATCGACTACAGCGAAGAAATTGATGATGACGACTTTAGAAAAGACAGAGACTACTATTTGGTGAAATCAAAATCAACACCGGTCTCTGGAAGAGGAAAAACAACCCGAGACTTCCACCAACGACTCGTTTCAATCATTTGATCGAGCTTGCATCGCAGTCCGTTCCTTCGGTTCATTTCAACAGCACGAACAAATTCAAAGAGCACAGAATCTTTTCGAAACCAGTTGAAGGCGAAACTCGACGACCTGTCGCCAAATCAACCCTCTACAAATTGCGTCCAAACCTTCTCCTAGCAACTTTCGTGCAGCTTGAAGAATTTGTTAAGAACGCCGAGCGCCTGACACTCGCTACTGACGGGGTAAGTTATTCTTTGAATTTTTGGGTACCCCAATTATGGGGAGCCCAATAATTTTTTTTTAATTGTAATATTTGGGTACCCCAATAAATACTTTTTTCAGACAACCTCAAAATCAAATCGTCAATGCATGAACGTCGTATTCATCAACGAAGAAAGGGAAAAGCTGCTGTTCATGATCGTTGAGCTTTTCGGTGGAACAGCTGAAGAAATCTTCACAGCCGTCACTCTTTCTATCGACACACTGTCATTTTCTGATGAGATCTGGAAGAAAACCGACTCAATTCTCACAGACACCTGCCGTGCGCAAGAAGCTGCAAACATGCAGATAATTGAATTCATCGACAAGAAGAGGAACTCCGAGATTCCAGTGCAGTGGATCTGGTGTGCTCTGCATACGGCTGGGAACATCGATCGATACGGCCGGCAAGGACTTTCTGCTTTAGCGAATGATATTTTCACTTGCTTGAAAATTCTTTTTGGCTCAAGCAAAATCAGCGGCCATCATCGCGAAGATCTCAAGAATGAGTAAGTTTTCATTTTTGGGTAGCCCAATTGGGTACCCCAATCAATTTTTCAAAACCTTTTTTGGGTACCCCAATTAATTCTTTTTCAGGCTCGACGAAGTGCGTGTAGAACTTGGCGACAAATCTACAAAGAAAGCCTACTGCACCGACATGGGTTCACGAATCGGCTCTTCCAAGAAGAATGCCGAGGGCCTTATGCTTTACTGGGAGGCAACTGTCAAGACCATCAGCAAATACTCCGACCGCAAACGAGCAAAGGAACTTCTCCCACTCCTCCAAGATAAACAACTAGCTATTCTGAGCACATCTCTGACACCTCTGATTTGGGCTTCGTACTCAGGTCTTATTCTCAGGGCATCAGAGAATGAAGAAAGCACGATCGAAGATGTCTGCATTCAAATGAAATCCTGCCTCGATTCTTTGGAGAAAATTCTCGAATCCAAACAGCCTTACGACGATCTTTTTGATGGAGTTCTGGAAAATTACGAAGACTCAGAATATTTCCTGTAAGTTTTTTTTATTAAACAATTTTGGGTATCCCATTATTTGAAAGATCAATTTTTTGGGTACCCCAATTAATCAATTTATAAAAAAATAATATTTGGGTACCCCAATTAATCAATTTATAAAAAAAACTTATTTTTGGGTATCCCAATTAATCAATTATAAAAAAAAATAAATTTTGGGTATCCCAATTTTTTATAAAAAAAATTTTTGGGTACCCCAATTTATCAGTTTGTAAAGATTCAATTTTATCTTTAGGAAACTTCGAGAATTCAAAGAGATGCCAAGGGATGCTAAACTTCGGGACGACCTGAATGAGACGATTCGACAGTGCCTTACAGAAGCAAAGAAAAAGTTGCAGAAAGATTACAACCAGATGAAATCACTTCGACTTTCTGGCAAATATGAGACGTCTAATCGCTTTTGCGAGAGTGTCTTTGCCACCCTGAAGTACAAGGAACAAACGAGCACTGGTTCCGCGCTCGCAAACATTGCCGACCAAACTGTTGTTCAAGTTAACAAGCTGGGCAACTACCTGAGGAGAATGAAAAAGAAACAGCGGGACGAGCTTTTGGATAGAATCGACAACTCGAACGAAGTCAAAACTACTCTGGAGGTTCGAAAGACGCTGAAAGAACGATTTCGCAAGAAAAGGGAGGAAATTCTAAAGAAAAGGGACGAAACAAAGAAGATCAAAATTGAACGTCAGAAAATCAAAGAAGAAAAAAGAGCAAAAAAGCCAAAAATCGAGGTTTCAAAAACTCCAGTTCGCTCGACTCGTCTTTCGAAAAGAAGGCTTGATTAAATGTTCATTACAGCTTTCCATTATTCACTGCCAAAAACTGGTCAAACAGATAAAATGAATAATAAATTATTAATCTCCATGTTAAATTACCCACAGATATGAAATTTCTGAGAAAAGCATTGATTTTTATGATTTACTCCAAGCGCACCTAAGGCGCGCGCGCCTCCACGCCAACACCACCAAGCGCCGCTCCAATCATTTTTTAATTGGCGAATTCGCAATGAGCGCCAAAAACTGGTCTAAAACCCAAAATTTCAAGGAAAAATATTAAACTTTGATTATCCGATAGAATCCCTAGCCATATTTTAGGTTCTAAATGCGTCCGCAGGTTAAATTTGCTTCAAAAACTTGATAAGAGGAATTTTTGACCAAGAAAAATCTAAATTTTTGCCAAAATTAGGGCAAATTCGTCAATTTTCGGCGAAAAGTCAAATTTTCAAAGAGGATTTTAAGGGTGTTAGAGCCGAGATAGACCCCCAAAAATGACGCTTTTTGACTCGTAGAATCCAAATTCCGAAATTTGATTATACGAAAATAGCTGACAGGGGGTCCTTAAACAAATAACTAAAGAAATTCAGACCATCTCGAACTAAAAGAAGAAAAAGCCTCAGAATACGAAAATGAAAAGGGCGAAAAGTACGAGCTTCGAAGAATTAAAGAAGACGACTCAATTCTCAAGGAACCAATCATCATCGGAATTTTCTCGTGCTTCTGCGCCTTTTCAGCAAATGTGAGTCCTCCATGATTTCATCTTGCTACCCCTTTCAGTCCGGGATGGAATCTTCAATAACTCTGCTAACAAAATGGCTACTTGGATGGGATCAGGTCGAAAATGCGATTATTTTCGTTACCGCCGGGTTCGGTGCAATTTTGAGCTATGGAATCGTAACAATTATTTCAACGAAGAATATTTTGGATGATAGGCAAATTTTGCTCGGTTCCTGTTCACTATGTTTTTTTAATTTATGTCTGATTGGCTCTATCACATGGTTAGAAAAAAGGACAAAAAAGGGATGAAACTATTTTCTAGCATTTTTGAATTCGGCGCGCCTTGGCTTCTCCCGGCGATAGTCAGGGCTCGGCAACCTGAGTAGAAAACCTGAGTCAGGGTTTGAAAGAGCTAAATTTTCATTTTAGCTCTGACTCAGGTTTTCTACTCAGGTTGTCGAGCCCATGCGATAGTGACAGCAACTTTTCTTCTTGTTATCAGTCTACCGCCTATGCTGACTTCGGCGGCGGTTATCATCGCGAAAAACACTCCAAAAGAAGATCAAGCGTTTGTGCTCAGTTTGCGAACAACTGCTGAAAGAAGCTCGCAGGTAGACAGAAGGGGATTTTCGATGGAATAGAATTTTAGATGATTTTTCGGCTTGGTACACAAGTATGGCTTGGACGACGACAAATTTTCATTTTGGTTTTCCGATGGTTGTCGGGACGATGATTTGTTTAGGAAACTGCTCGAAAATGACATCGAGGCTTTTCGATATACGGATTTTGAAGAGCATATTTAAGTATTCAACATCGCTATGATTCTTGCAAGCTGGAAGTATATGAAGGCAGAACTGATACAGCCGTATTCGAGAGAAAAGCTTTTATCCGAAAGATAAATTTTAGCTTGACAAAATATCACTGCGAAATATTCAAATATTTATTTTACGGAAATAAAATCAACAAGTTTTCTTCTCCTAAAAATGAACATACTGCCATTTGGTCTTCAATTTGGTTTTTTTTTGAGAATCTATCATCTGGGTCCGTTGAAAAGCTGCTTTTAGACCCTGACTCAGGTTTCGTCTGACCTTTTTCGACTTTATTCGACCGTGTCTTTTGATTAATTACTAATAAAGAAACAGGTTATTTGAGTGGGACTGACCTCGGAAACTTCTGTGGAAAACCTGAGTCAGGGTCCTCAAGAGGCTTTTCATAAAAATCTTTCAGACCCTGACTCAGGTTTTCCACAGAGGTTTTCGAGTCAAGTTCCACTCAAATGACCTGTTTCTTTATTACCAATAAACTATTAGTAATAAATAAAAAGACACGGTCAAATAAAGTCGAATAAGGTCAGACCGAGGATTTTCTTTTTCTTTTTATTTTTGTTATCATCGTAAAAGATCGTTTTATTCATTTTCAACCGCGAGTTGCTGCGATCAACAAAGAGCAAATTTGAACGGTTCAAATCTGAATGCAAATAGTGTAGCTCTGCAATTTTGAAATTGAACTGAGCTCGAGTTTGTGAGGAGCAAATAAACTCGACTCAACCAAAAAACCGCTTGAACTTTGAGCGCTTGACATTGACGTACATCGGAAGAATGAAAAATTTGCAAATATTGAAACAGAAACTTCTCAGTTCAGTCGAAAAAGAAGATATTTTTAGTGTTACCTCGAAAGACTTTAATTCCCATGTCTTCTCTATCTTAAAAAAATTAACCAAACATTAATCGGAAAATCGCTTCCTGTTGCGTTTTCCTCAACAAATACCAATAAATATAAATATAGCCATGATCTGAAGAAGAAACTACTGAACTTTTTTTAACAAAAGACACCTTATTTCTTTCTTTCCAAAATAATCAGCGGGAATTCATCCCCAACCGAGCTCTTTTCCGACAAAAAACCGATCAATCATACCAAGAACGATCCAAAATCCCCGTTTCACACCATTGCTTCTTTACTCAACCCACTTTTTTTTTGCTCCTGAAACGACCGCGTTTTTTGCAGAGAGAAGCGAATTTATTTCGAGCGAGGCGGGTTCAGAGTAAGCAGGTCAGGTAAATTTGAACGGTTATATAATTCAAACAAGAACTCTCTTGACTTGAGAACCATTACACGAACTCTATCGCCACGAAAATACGATATAAGTCGCCTCCTACCGTCTTTTTCTCATTTAGAAAGAAAAAAAAATTGCAAAATGAAGTTTTCAAAAATTCTCCTCGCATCATTTGCTGCTACTGGCTTTGCCCTAGAACAGGTAAAAAATTTTTTTTATTTAAAAAAAATCCCCTCAAAAATTTCGAGTCGAAAATAAAAAAAAATGTTTTTAGCAAGGGATTTTTTAAAGCAATTTTTGATCAAAAGCAGAATTATTAAAAAAATATTTCATAATTTCGATATTTTATTTTATTGATGATTTTCTTCAAAACTGTTTTTTTAACGAAATAAACCAATAAAAAAATTAAATAAAAAAATTTCACGCATCAAAATTGCACAAAAAGCAATTTGGGAAGTTTATGACCTCAAAGAATCAAAAAAATCCTCAAAAACTTGTTTTCAGCAAAAAAAGGGCGTCTTAGGGACACCGTGGGCATTGTCAGCCACACCTCATAAACGGGTTGAGTTCAGTTCCGTTTCTCACCTGAAAAGTTGACAAAAGTTGAAGTTATTTTTGATGAAAACTCACAAAAATCGTAGATTTATTGTTAATTTTCAAGATCCGCGAGGCCATTGTCGGAAGATGGGAGCTGATCGACTCAGAAAACGTCGCCGAATACATCAACAATGAAAAAGGACCGATGATGTACACAGTCTTCGCGAAAAAGATGACCCCGGATTTGGAATACATCAAGCTCGAGGAGAACTCCTATCTCGCGAAAATTCACTTGACGATGATGCCCAATCCAATGAAGATTCCAATGCGACTGGATGAAGAATACGAGCACAAGAATCCGACGAGCGAGTACGTCAAGTCCGTCCCAGAAGTTCGACAGGACGGAATGGAAATTATTCTCCAGACAAAAGGTGAAAACAAATCTCAAATTCCTTCCCAATTTGATTTTCAGGGGGTTCCGAAGGACCCGTGGAACAAAGCCTCAAGATCGTAAACGACAACCTGATTCATCGAATGACGATGCTGGAAAAGGACATTACAGCTACGAGAATATACAAAAGAAAAAACACCGAAACGCTGTGAAAAAAAAAACCTTTCTGTAAAACTTTTTTATCGATTTTGGAAAAAGAGTGTGCTATTTGTAATAATATACGTACAATTGAATTTATGATTTGTTTTATTTGTGAAAGAAAAAGTGCAATCAAAGGGTGTAGCCTACAGAATTGTGAGCCCGGCTCACAATTTTGTGAATCCGATTCGCAATCTTTGTGAACCCGACTCAAATTCAGAATTTTTTTGATTCGGAATTTTGACGAGTTCAAAGAATTCATGACCGCGCTTGATTCAGGATCAAGCTTTGGTTTTTTGAGAAATTTTTGAAATAAATAAAGGATGATCAAAAAAGCTGAAAGAATTTTTTTTGAACTATTCGGTAGCAGCATAGTTTCCTTGGTAATTGAAGTCAGTCGGGACGATTGCATCGGTGGCTGATTCGAATTTATTGTAGATTTTGTCCAGTTGTTCTTTTCGTCTTTCATTGGTTCTACCAGACTCGATCTCAGAAAAAGGAAGGAAGATGAAGAACAAGTTCCTGAGTTTATTGAGCATGTCTCGGGCTTTTTCGCGAGCAGCTTTGTATGCCAGATCGTAGTACTTTTCTTTCATCGGGACGCAAAGAGTGCAGATTTCATCCTCGCATCTGAAATTTATTGAGAAATTAAGCTGTCATCATTCAGCCAATCTCCTTCAAAATCTTACCTTGATTGATGAGCGATATATTTTTTCGTATTTGAGCTTTTTTTCGGGTCTCAAAAGGCTCTTAGCGGAAATTTTAGCATCTTAAAATGCTGAAAAAAGAGACCCATTCTCAATATTTCGTGTCGCATTCAGAATCGAAACAGGTTTCCACGTGATCAAGAGCATTTTTAAACGCTTATGAGGTTCAATTTTTTTATAGAAGAAAAGATTTTTTGGAAAAAGGATCGAGAAACTACAGTTTCTAGCAATTGAACCAATGTGCCTGAGCAGTGTGACACATTGCACCCAGCCTCCTCGCAGTACTTTTCCAAGGCTCTTGAAAAAAAAACAACCAAAAACGCTTGTGAATAAATAAATCTCTAGAACTTCTCCTTTGCGTGACAAAGCACGATGATATTATTCCGGATGTTGTCAATCTTCTCTAAAACCATTCTAAATACGAAAAAGGTAGAAATCAGAATTTCAGGAAGTGATCTTGGCTTCTATGTTTTAATGCAATAACGCGCGTTATCACCTAAAGCTGATTTGCTGCAAACTGTCGCTTACTCTGCCTTTTCGATCTGACTGTAATTGATTGACAGGATAGTTGCTTATTTGCAGATTTTTATTGTTTTTGTACAGAATTTTTTTTGTTAGCTCAGAATAGTGCTGCCAGGAAAAGATGTTTAATATTTGGCGGGAAGGGCGGCCTTGGCGACTTCGGCTTCGATGTCCTTGCCTTCCTCGAGGGCCTGTTCCCATCGGATGATCTGGGAGACACCCTCGATGAAGATGTTGACGAGCTGGGTTTCGGACTTGCCGAGTCGATCGGCGTTGGAGATGTCCCAGGTGCCACCAGTGGAGGCGGAGTCGACACCAGCGGTACCTCGGGCCTACGGGCGGGTAAAGACGGAAACAAGAAGGAGGGGAGTTACCTGGAGACCCATCTTTGCAAGGACCTGCTTGAAGTCAGCTCGGGCGGAGAACTTGGGGACCTGGACCATGGCGCCAGCTCGGAGACCGGTTCCAAGGTTGGAGGGGCAGGTGAGGACCCAACCGAGATGGTCGTTGTGCATGAAGTCGTAACCTTCCTGCTTCAGGACCTAGCGAAGAAAATAAGCAATGCGCTCTTTTTGCTGAAAACTGTACCTTCTGGATACCCTCAGTAGCAGCGGCAAATCGCTTGAAGATTTCGACGACGGAAGCACCCTTCTGCATGGAGACGATTCGCATCTGATCCTCCTCGTTGACCCAGACGAAGAAGTTCTCGGCTTCGTTGTGGAAGATACCTCGGGCATCGGGCCAGTGTCGGCCGCAACCGGAAGAGAGGAGAAGAGTGGAGTCGGGCTCCTGGAAGAGGTTTCCGTTCTTTCGGAGGGATTCTTCCTTCTCCTCGGTCATGCCGTTGGGCTTGGCGGCGTATGACTTGGAGCCGTGGAGGGGGAAGTAGTCACCCTTGAGGTCACCCTCGAGGTTGAGGAGAGCCTTGACGATGACTCGCTCGAGTTCTCGTCGCTCTTCGAAGGAGCAGCATGGAGGAAGTCGAGTGCCTCGGACGGATCGGCCAGTTCGGCATCGGGTGGTGAGGACGTACTTGCCAGTGGGATCGATGGGCGTGGTGGAAAGGTTGGCGGGGTTCATGTCAGTGGGGTGCTTGGCATCGGGGGCGTAGCCGTTGTGTCGGGCGGAGATGACGGGGTCGAAGAATTCCTGAAGAAGGAGGGATTGAATTTGAGGGATTGTCAGATAAGTTTTACCTTGAAAAGCTCGTAGGACTCTTCATCACCAGCGACGGCGCCGACGGTCTTGATCATGGGGTGACCCTTGTTGTCAACGCCGGTCTTGATGCAGTGGCCGATGTTGACGCCGAGCTTGGTGGTCTTGGACTTGAGCTTCTCGTAGAGCTCAGGCTGGGATCGCATGGTGTCGGCGAAGAAGGAGGTGTGGTTGGAGAGGTCGGGGAGCTTGTCGGGAAGCTTGCCAGCGAGGAAGGTGGCTTCCTTCTCTTCGCAGTAGTACTCGGCATCGCCGCAACCCTTCTGGATCCACTCGGGGAGGGCCTTGATGGAGGCGGGGAGGCCAGTTGGTGGGTAGTCCGACATTATTGCTAGAAAGCATTTTATAGGGTGGTAGCGAAACATTTTTGAAATCTTGAAAGTTTTCATTATTGAATTATGAAAAATTCTAGAATTTGGAAGTAAATGATCCAAAAATTAAAAGAAAAGGGTTGTTTTTTGGGGGTTTACCTGAGGTCTCTTTGAGTTATCCCAAGAGTGGAGAAATCTTCCGGGGAGGGTGGTTTTATTTCCTCCTGGCCGGGTGCTAACCTCCTTAACACCTGTGTTGTCGTAGAGCAAAACATGCGATCTTTCCAAAAGTAGCAGCGCGACACTCCCTTGTCCTCCCTTAACCCTCTCCTGCACCCTTGACCCTGGCACCTTAACCCTCTAATGGAACAACTTGACTTCTATTTATGTCTTGCACTAGAAAAATAAAATTTCGGAGCGTGGAAAATTCATCGAAGAAAATTAATCAAAATTTCATAATTGCTGATAAGAGGGAAATTTTCTTGATGATAAGACTGCACATATGTTATCACCATTATCACTCTGACCAACAGCTGCTGGAATCTCGCTTAATTAGCAAATAAATCGCCAATCAAGCGATTTCTTGCGCAAAGAGGACTCTTTCGAAATTGCTGTACTTGAGTCCGGGTTCAAATTTATTGCAATAATTCAAAATGGAATCTGGCTGTAGAAGCCGTTTTTGACATCTCTGTTGATGTGATTCGAGTTCGAGTCGGTGTTTTGGCTTCTTTTGCCAAGGTACTGCTGGGCCATCATTTCGATAAATTTCTCGTCATCAAGTTGGTTGCTAAAAATTTTTTAAAATTTCATCACGAAAATAGAATTCGTCCACCAAAAAAATTTCATTTTAGAAAAATTGATATTGCAGCAAAAAAAATTGTTTTATTAAAATTTTGTTGAAAAAATTTTATTCTAGAGAAGAATTTGAGCTTTCTTTTGGTCAAAGAATTAAGGGTGTCATAACCTTAATTTTTTTTTAAATAAATTATTCAGGAAAAGTTAAGATAAAGACACCCTTAACTCTTTGACGAAAAGAGAGATCAAATTTGTATCAAGAATAATTTTTTTGTAAAATTATTTTTTTTTTTGCTTAAAAAATTTTCAACACAAATTTTTGTATTTATTTTTTTCTTGTTTTTCCTCTAAAAATGGGTTTTCCCTGAAATTTTGTGATTTTACCCGATGCAAAGTGGAAGAAACAAAAATGCAAACAAAAATTCATTTCAATTTTCGTTCAGCCTGAAATTGACTGGAGCGCTGGTACTTATTTAAATAGTCTCCAGGCACTCAGCTCTATTAATTATTCAGCGAATAAGTAGCGTTTTACAGTTTCTGAGATGCAGCATTGATAAATATTTAGAAATTGATATTCCATCGCGAATCAAATATTCACGAGCTTCCTTTAATTGAACCGAAAGAATTGGAACCGACATGGTCGCCAGACAAGCATCTCAAGAACGATAGCATCAATTATTCCTCGTTTTTCAATCGCTTCTTTTTGTTTGCATTTTTCAAGTTCAACACTTTCATTGAGAATTTTTGAATTCTTTGGCATCTTTTTCGCGTTTATTTTGCGTCAAACTGCAGCTTGGGCGAAACCACGTGATAATTATATTTCCCGAAGTATGATGCTTTTTCTGGACAGTTTTCTTCGCACAGTAAGTCAAGTTCAAAGCGAGTTATCGGCTCGAAAACTTGAGGTTAAATCAATTTATGGAAGTGATTGAAGGATCAGGGTTTTGATTGGCTGGTAGGCCAAATGCAGCAATTTTATTGGCTATCCAAAAATCCACTTCCATGAATTGGTTTAAAATTAGTCCAAAAGTTGAAATATTCAACATCTTTTTCATCCTTCTCTTTGTCTGACTCTTTTTAATAAAATTGGTAGCTCAATCATCGCCACGTCTAGATCTAAACCGTGAGCGATTAATACATCCGCCACGACATCCCCTTCAAAATAGCTCCGTCCTTCTCGGAATCCCCCGCGGCGCAAATTGCGTTCCATCCATTTCGCGTCAATTCTAGTGATTTTGTTTCCTTTGCCACCACCCAGCCCCTCACTGCCGCTGGCGCAATAAACATCTTTACCAAATCCAAAGCATCAGCATAACTATTTACCTAAAACCCTTGTCAACCCCTTTTCCGACAGTGCGGATTTTTCTCTGATTGAACTTAAGGGGGTGACCACACAGAAAATTACGTCCTCGTAGAATTAGTCTCCCTGCCTTGGGCTAAAATTTCTGGCAACTCTTACATTGAGGCTTATTCATTCTACCTTACCTAAGAGAGATATCGAAGAAAGAGAAAGAGAAAAGATGAAGAATAGAATATGGAGCTGGTGGCTTGGTCTGGGGTGGATATCAGCCTTGAATGAAGCGCAGGAGTTGAGATGTATCGACTCTACGACTTTGAGTGAGTTCTGCGATGAAATGTCCTGTAGAATGGGATCTTTGAAATGTGCAAAAACATGTGGCCTTTGCTCCGATTCAAGGTATACTTACCAACAGGAAAGCTTGAAAAAACCATCAAAATTTTTTTTCAAAAAATTTTTTTTCCGAAAAAGTCGAAATTCTTTCTTTTTTGAGCTAAAAAAAAGTACATCCTCGAAGTCCCAGAAAACGAAACCTGCAACCGATATGAGCTAGCCACACTCCAATGCCAACATTCTTGCGAAAAATCATCTTCTGGGCAAGCTCGATGCAAGTGCGATGCTGGATACTATTTATTTGCGGATAATAAAAGCTGCATCGATATTGACGAGTGCCGTAATGCCCGAAAAGGAACTGGTTCAATTTTTTTCGATCATGAATTTATTTAAATAACGGAGCGATTATTTTTGATGAATTATGTTTGAGACATGTTTTTAGCCAAAATATTTTATAACAAGAGTTTTTGGTAACGTCATCAGTTTTCGCAAACTCGAGTTATATGAATGGATTAATAACTGCTCTCATTTTTAAGGCGCTTAAATTAAGGGGGTAGATATCGAGAATCGGATTTTCTGTCAGTGATTTCTCAATTTTTTGACATAGTGACCCCCTTATTTTTTCTGCTCAAAATTTATTTCCGACTTATCTATTTCTTATGGAAGCCAAAAATGTAGATTCTTGTGCTTTTGAGGTGCTAGAATGCAAATCGGGCACCTTCTGTTGTCGCAAAATTGACCATTTTCGGAGACTAAGCGATCTTTGACGAGAAATTTCGTTCAAAATCTTTTTGATAATAAAAAATTCAGCTTCCAAAGGAAAAAGAGAAACGTCTTAAGTTTTTGTTTCCAAAATAAAATAAGGGTGTTACTATTTTAACTTTGGGAGAAAAGTCTGACTGACAATGGCGATTCTTGATATCAACCTCCTTAATCGAAAACAAACTCAAAACACAACCATCAAAAAGAAGGCAAAACATTATGCGACGGCGGCTTTTCCCGCTGTACAAACGTACCTGGAAGCTACACCTGTTCCATCGGATCGACGCCAAGACCCACGACAACTATTGGAAGAAACGCTTGTAGCTCCACTTATTACAAAGAAAGCACATGCTGCAAGCCGTCAACGAATACTTGCGGAAGAAAGCCGCAGGAAATGCAAAGTCGAATTGTGAATGGAGTCATAACAGAAGCGAAGAATTGGCCTTGGGTGGCTCATATTTACATCCGAAACCGCAGCGGACAAATCAATGGTTGTGGGGGTGCCTTTGTTTCAGACGATAAAGTCATTACCGCGTACCACTGTGTCTTCGATCATCTCAGTCGGTATAACGATCTCACTGTTATGGCTGGCGTTGACGACGGATTTTGGGCAAGTGCAACGTCAACTGCTGGACTTGTTCCTCAAGAATACGAAGTCACGAATGTCAAGGCTCCTCCCGGAGCGAGTAAGCCAAGATATGAACAGTCTGATATCGCGATCCTTACTGTCAGAAAAGTGGGAGCTCGATCAAACAGTTTCCAAGTCACGCCAATCTGCCTTCCTCAAGAAGAAACCCCCGCTGTTGGAAGAAACTGCTACGTAGTCGGCTATGGTGCTGCTTCATGGGGCGGAGCCCCGACGATGCAGTTGATGGAGGCAAAAGTGCCAATCGTCAATGACCAAACATGCAAAAATGATTACGATTCATTCCGTATGAAGGAGAATTTCAACGAAGATGTGCACATCTGCGCTGGGTACGCGAATGGCTACCAAGATGCTTGCCAAGGAGATTCTGGAGGACCTCTCATGTGTCAACGAGAAAACAGCTGCGAATGGTACCTCGTCGGAGTCGTCTCCTACGGCTGGAGATGTGGGGTCAGCTATGGTGTTTACGCAGAAGTCAACGCCTTCGCCGACTGGGTCCATCAAAATGTCGGAGTTCCGAAAAACCCCGCAGAGGGAAAAACCTGCGAGATCAACTACGGCGACGAAGGCTGCGAAGCGCTCAAATTCGACGGAAAACTTTACCAATACGATGCTGCTTCTGACTCTTACGTCCTGAAAGACCCAACGCTTCCAAAACAAACGTTGTTCCAGTATTCCGATTTTTTGATTTTGAAGTTTGGCGATAAGCCGTCTTCTGGGGCTGGAACTGACACGATCGCAGCGTTTCGCATTCCAAAGGATCGAGTCTGCATGTTTGACACTGAAGTTCAATGGTACTTTACTGATCAATGGGTACAGACAAATGATAAACTTGAATGTGGAACCCAAGATTGAGTTGTCACTTTGATAAGCTGATAAAAGTATATTTTCCTTAAGAATTTTTGATAACTCAAAAAAAGCCGAAATCGATGCTCTATCCGAAACCCAGCTCGAAGAAGAGGACGAGTGCGAATCAAACTCTTATGGCGCCGTCATCACGAACAATCTCGGCGAAATTTTCAACCTTTACCTGGACGAAGACAAAACAGCTTCTACTGAGAAAACGCATTTCAAAAGTGATACTGGCGTTACTCTTTATTACGGCGTGTATTCCGGCGGCGGATATTGGGTACTCGGCCGGAATTATAATATTCAGATGTCGATGTGTTACAAAACTGGAGAAAAAGATGCGTGTATTGAAGACCTTGGTGGAAGTGGCTGGTCGTGTTTGAACGCAGGTGGAAGCTGGGTGAATAATCAACAAGTTTCTATCAGTGTTATCGTCCCAATCACTACTGATGCTCCAACAGAGGAACCAGTGGTAACTGATGTTGCCGATCCAGTGACAACACAAGCACTTGTGACGACTGATGGAACAACAGCAGCTCCTAGTTCTCCAACAACAAGGGCAAGTACAACGACTCCTACTACAACAACAACTACATCAACAACTACGACAACAACTACGACAACAACGACGACAACGACGACGACGACGACCACCACCACAACAACCACTTCGACGAAAACGACAACGACAACTACTCGGACAACGACCACTCCGACAACTACAACTTCGACCACGCCAACGACGACCACGCCAACAACAACCTCGCCGACGACGACAACTCCAACAACGACAAGTCCGTCAACAACGACACCTGCTCAAGGTTCCGTAAATTAAATTTACCCCTTTCATAAACTTTCATCCCTAGATATCTAAACAAAATTCAGAAACGTCAGAAACTGGTCGTCTAACATTTACAATGAATTCCTATGGAATCTATGGAGAATTGACGCTCACTCAAACTGAGGACGACCCAAATAGGTTTGTTGATGAAGCAAAGAATGTTGTGCTGTACTACACGGATACTTACAAAGCATGGGCACTTGTTCCAGTCGGAAAAGACGTCTATAATCTGTTTTGTTATGCATCAACGAGTGTTAAAGGAACATGTTTGAAAATGGGAGTCTTTATCTAGAGGTTTGAGCCATTTGAAAACATTAATAAAGAAAATTTCGTCGACAATATAACAAGCATGACTTGCAAAACTCTTCAAAATAATTGGGTCAGACAGGATATTGGCCTGGAAGTCATCTCGTCTGGTTCTGCCATTGTTACAACTGAAGCTGCTGTTGAAGAATGTGATCCTGAATGCGAACCATCTTTCAGCTTCGATATTCCCAAATGTAAGCCATTTATTTTTACCACTTATGAATTTATTTCTAGATGGGAGAGTAACAATGACGGAGATTTTCGAAGGCTCAAATGAATATTTTGACAACGATAAAAACATTTTCCTCTACTACGATAATAAGTACAAGTCCTGGATTGTCGCTGAGCAGCCTAATGAAGTAAGCAAATTCCTCTGCTACAGTCAGATCTTGAAAGAAGAACCGCTTCAAAATATGGAAGGCAACATCAGCTGCAAGAATCCTGCTTGGGGAAGTCCCTGGGAAGACTTCAATTTCACAAACAATGAATGCCCGAGTTGTACAACGACAACGACGAGAACTTCAACTACAACCGCGACTACAACTACAACGACGGCAGCTCCTTCTGCTACGACAGGATCAGCCGTTTCAACAAGCTCTCCAACATCAACTTCAACTACAACCTCAACAACGACTTCAACAACAGCAACGACGACAACAACTTCTACAACAACAACGACAACGACAACAACCACTACCACTACTACCACCACCACAACAACAACGACAACCACTACGACCACGACTACAACTCCCGGCCCAGTCGAATTCATCTTGAATATCCCTGCCAGTTCCGTCCGTGGACACAAACGATTCCGATTTATCGAAACCGAGGAGGAATATGTTTACGTCGATGAGGACGCTCAAATGAAGGTAAAACAAGATTGAATATAAGTTTCACAATTCTTCTTTCAGATCTACTTCGACGTCAATTACATGGCTTGGGTCATTCTCCCCCTCAAAGCTAGGAACATCTATTCGATGGTCTGCTACAATTCAAATGTCAATGGCGAAGGGTTCCTCGGTCGCGTCAATTACTTACAGTGCGTTGGCGACAATGGCAACACCTGGGAACGAGTCGAAATTTCCCCCATAGAGATTGATGCAAATTTCGTGGAAACAACAACATCCACAACGACGACATCAACAACTCCGACAACAGAAGTGCCGACAACTGCTTGTACAGTCTGCGAAGAGAAATTTAGAATGAGCATTCCGGGAAAAACCATCATTTTAAAAAAGATTGAAGACAATCTTTATGAACAGACTGGAGACAAAGATCTGGAAATTTCATGGCTTCCGTACTTCAAAGCCTGGGTTTTGAAGCCAAAAGGCGCCCAAGGAATGGTTCTAACTTAGTAGTTTGTTCGATTTGTTTTGATATTTAATTTGATTAATGAACCAAAACATAATTTGATTGGAGTACCTAGATTCACTGTACTTGTATTTACGTACAGTACGTTATTCCAATGTACTGTTTGTACGAACGTACTTTTTCGAGCTATTGTAACAACGAGAATTGTATCACCGAACTTGTATTTCTGAACAGATTCTTTTTTCTTGAAAACAAGGCAGGGATTGCGCGCGCTGCGCGCATTTATATTTATAATAGAAGAAGATAATATATATAAACATATTATTTTGATATGAAATTTAGTTATTTTAGTTCAAAATCAAATCTTTATAAAAGTGTGTCTCGTTTTTACAAGTACAGTGATATAACACTGTACAATAAAATGAGGACAATGTTACAATTTTCAGCTGTACGTAAATACAAGTACAGTGAATCAGTGCTCTCTTTGATTGATGAACCAAAACAGTTTCTGCCCTCCTTTGTTCCGAATTTGCCGATTTTGTTGGACAACCTGCCCGGCCAGTTTCTCCTTTTACCGAAAGTGTTATAAAAATGACATGTCTAGACAACGATGTCTGGGGCGAGCATCAAATCAACCTTACTAACATTCCCTGCCAATGCTAAAGCCTCAAAATGAGACTGACTCTCCCTCTGTTACATAAAATAAAAACCGCCTATCATTAAAGACCTCTTTGGAAACTTATTTATCAGCGGACTTGGGCGACATTCTCGCAATGGCAGACCATAAGCTTAAGGGGGAGGTCGTCGAGAAATTTTTTTTCGTATTTTCAAAATTTTGATTATATTTTTGGATTCCTTGATAAAAAAGGAGTATTTTTGGTCCCTAGCTTTTTCTCAATTTGTTAACTTTTTAATGGAAAATTTTCGATTTTAAGTCTCGAACATGAAATTTCTTGAGAATAATTGGTTGGTGATTTCGTCCAAAAACTATCTGAAACTGATTATTATGCACTAGGCATTGTTTTAAAATAATTTCTGACTAATTATTTTTAAAAAAATCCGAGTCTTTGTGATTTTTGTAGAAATTTCCATGAAAAAATGGATAAAAATGTCGATTTTGACGAAAAATTTTATGAAAGAAACCCTTAATTTTTTGATCGCCGGTAAATTTTTAAGGGTCTAAACTATTTATAAATTATCTTTGATGAAGAAAAAAAAACTCGGTTTTCGAGATTTTTTGGTCACGAGACACCCCCACTTCAACCCTAATTTTTGAAAAATTTTTCGAAAAAAATTTTTTTCTGCTTTTCGCCGGTTAATTTTTCAAACCCTTTTCTTTCAGTCTGAAAAGTCAGAATTTTCCTATCTAGTCGGGTTTCTCCGCATTTTTGGTCACGGAAATCCCGATTCTCGTCGACCTCCCCCTTAATGCTGGAATTTGCAGATCATTCATTAACATCATAAACCTAATACGAGTTCGAATTTCTACGGTCGAGATCGCAAACTGCGTCTTATGGTCAAATACTTGTCAGATTTTCCACCTGCTGCACCCTCCTTTTCCTTATAAAAAAAAATTCAAAACCCACGAACCTAGTCCCACGAACCTAGTCGCACATATTTTTTCCTTATAGAATAATAATTCTAACCAATCAAAAACCCCCGAACCTATATTTAGATAACAATATTATATTAAATGATCATATAATTACAATACATATATATAAATATATATAAATAAATATATACATATAAATAACACTTAATCATTATAAATAAAAATATACATATTAAATCAAAAACTCACGAACCTAGTCCCACGAACCTAGTCCCCACGAACTTAGTCATCCCACACAGATGTATCGACTCTACGACTTTGAGTGAATTCTGTGATAAAAAGTCCTGTAAAATGGGCTCTTTGAAATGTGCGAAAACATGTGGTCTTTGCTCTGATTCAAGGTATAATTATCAACAGGAAAGCTCAAAATCATCCTCAAACTATTTTCCAAAAAATTTTTTTTCGATAAAGTCAAAAAAAATTTCTTTTTGAGCGCTAAAAAGTATATCCTTGAAGTCCCAGAAAACGAAACCTGCAACCGATATGAGCTAGCTACCCTCCAATGCCAACATTCTTGTGAAAAATCATCTTCTGGGCAAGCTCGATGCAAGTGCGATGCTGGATACTATTTATTTGCGGATAATAAAAGTTGCATCGATATTGACGAGTGCCGAAATGCACGAAAAGGAACTGGTTCAGTATTTTTCTGGATCATGAATTTATTTCAATAACGGAGCGTTTATCTTTGGTGAAAAATGGTTGATAATTGTTGTTAGCCAAAATATTTTATAACAAGAGTTTTCAGTAACGTCATCAGTTTTCGCAAACTCGAGTTTTATGAATGATTAATGACGGGGTGGTGTCTGAAACCGACAAAAAAAATTCGACAAATTTTGCGTTGGCGGCTACTCGGCTTCTGATTGGCCGGTTCTCCGAATCCAATCTGATTGGTTGAAAATTTCTACGCAAATTAGTCGAAATTTTTTTGTCTGTTCCAGACACCTTTCCTTAGTTACTGTTCTCATTTTTAATCGAAATAAAACTCAAAACAAAACCATAAATAAGAGGGCAAAACATTATGCAACGGCGGTTTTTCCCGCTGTACAAATGTACCTGGAAGCTACACTTGTTCCATCGGATTGACGACAACGATTGGAAACAATGCTTGTACCTCCACCTATTACAAAGAAAGCACATGCTGCAAGCCATCAACGAATACTTGTGGAAGAAAGCCGCAGGAAATGCAGGGTCGAATCGTGAATGGAGTCATAACAGAAGCAAAAAATTGGCCTTGGGTGGCTCATATTTACATTCGACTCCGCAGCGGGGAAGTCAGTGGCTGTGGAGGTGCCTTTGTTTCAGACAATACAGTCATTACCGCGTTTCACTGCGTCTACGATCATCTCAGTCGGTATAACGATCTCACTGTTATGGCTGGTGTTGACGAGGGATATTCATCAAGTGCAACCTCAACTGCTGGTCTCGTTCCTCAAGCATATGAAGTTACGAATGTCAAGGTTCCTTCTGGAGCTAATAAGCCAAGATATGAACAGTCTGATATCGCAATCCTTACTGTTAGAAAAGTCGGAGTTCGGGAGGGGGGAGAATGGCGTTACCAAAAAAATTTTTCGTAACCGTTACCAAAATTTTGGTAACCGTTACCAAAATTGGTAACCGTTACCAATATTTTTTCGTTTTCTTTTAAGCGAAAAACCAGAGAATGGCGTTACCAAAATTAGTAACGGTTACCAAAAATTGGTACCGGTTACCAAATGTAAGCTTCTCTCAAAATCAGGCGCGGAGCGCATTCAACCTTTAATTTCGGGATTTCTTTGATAAAGGACCTTTTAAATTGTCCGGATACCCTCGGTTCGCCGGGATATCCTCGGTTCGCCGGGATTTGGGCCAAAAAGTGTGTGATGGTGAAAAGAATTCGAGAAAATGAGTCTAGGACGAGCCTGTAATCGTTCATTAAATACTTTTTATAAATAAATGTTAGGATTAGGGGGCACTGGGCAAAATGACAGAACAAACTCACCCGAGGGGGATAGGCTAGGGTTAGTTAGGGTTACTGAAGGTAACCTTAAGTAACCCTAGACTAGACCCCGGCATCTTAGGCCCGAAGGGGCGGAGCCCCGAGGTAAGGGACACTTGGATTTGATAAGTTCAAAAAAAAATTCTTTTTATTTCTTTTTTATTTTATAAAAATTAGGACCGAAAAGTACCGGCGAACCGAGGATGAGGGGAAAATCCCGGCGAATCGAGGGTCATCCGTTTTTCTTTAATAAGGGTTAGTGTGTAACGAATTCGGGACTTTTGCCATTTCTGCGATCTGGCATAATTAAAATGATAAAAAACAACAAAGCCCGAGTTCTAGAGACACTTTTACTTATTTTTACCATTTTTGCAATATAGAATTTTCCGGAGAATGGCGTTACCAATTTTGGTAACGGTTACCAATTTTAGTAACGGTTACCAATTTTTGGTAACGGTTACCAATTTTAGTAACGGTTACCAATTTTTGGTAACGGTTACCAATTTTGGTAACGCCATTCTCCTACTACCGGAGTTCGTTCAAACAGTTTCCAAGTCACGCCAATTTGTCTTCCTCAAGAAGAAGCCCCCGCTGCCGGGAGAAACTGCTATGTAGTCGGCTATGGTGCTGCTTCAACGGGCGGAGCCGCCACAATGCAGTTGATGGAGGCAAAAGTGCCAATAATCAATGACCAAACTTGCAAGAACCAATACGATTCATTCACGAATATGAACGAGAATTTCAACGAAGATGTGCATATCTGCGCTGGGTACGGAAATGGCTACCAAGATGCTTGCCAAGGAGATTCTGGAGGACCCCTGATGTGTCAACGAGAAAATAGCTGCGAATGGTACCTGGCCGGAGTCGTCTCTTACGGCTGGAGATGCGGGGTCAGCTATGGTGTCTACGCAGAGGTCAATGGCTTTGCCGACTGGGTCCATCAAAATACAGGAATTCCGAAAAACCCCGCAGAGGGGAAAACCTGCAATATCAACTACGGCGAAAAAGGCTGCGAAGCGCTCAAATTCGATGGAAAACTTTATCAATACGACGCTGTTTCTGATTCTTATGTCCTCAAAGACCCAACACTTCCAAAACAAACGATGTTCCAGTTTACCAATTTTTGGATTTTGAGGCCTGGTGATAAGCCGTCTTCTGGACCTGGAACTGAATTTATTGCAGCGTTTCGAATGCCAAATGATCGAGTCTGCAAGTTTGACACTGAAGCTCAATGGTCCTTTACCGGTCTTACCGCAGTAGAAACGAATGATAAGCTTGAATGTGGAACCCAAGATTGAGTTATCAAAAAGTCAGATAAAGCTGATTAAAGTGCAGTTTTTTAAACTTTTTGTTTATAAGTAATTAATTATAACTCAAAAGCCGAAATTGATGCTCTTCCCGAAAAACAGCTTGAAGAAGAGGAAGAATGCCAATCAAACTCTTTTGGAGCTGTCATCACAAACCATCTTGGCGAGATTTTCAATCTGCACCTCGACGAAAGCAAAACAGCTTCTACTAAGAGAACTCATTTCAAAAATGATGACAGCGTTACATTATATGTCGACGTCCTCTTTGCCGATGGATATTGGATCCTCGGCCGAAATTACAATGTTCTGATGTCGATGTGTTACAAAACTGGCGAAAAGGATGCGTGTATTGAAGACCTTGGTGGCGTAGTGAGGGGTTATCCTTCGAGCTAGCCTCGAATTCACAACATGCCTTCTGGAGCAGCTATAATTCGAGTCACCCGAATGTAATAATGGGCTTTTAAGCAGCTAAAATTCGAGCCTCATTTCTAGAAGCGCAATATCAAGCTGTCATGAGTATGCGGCATACTGTATGCCTTATCAAATTTTTTGCTCGATACGGATGATTCCTGCTCGTTTTAGTCGGGCAAATCTGACAGATTTCCGCCAGTTTCCTCAGTATATTTATCATCAAGTACTCTATGTAAATTAAGGTTAGGGTTAGGGGACACTGGGCAAAATGACAGAACAAATTCACACAAGGGGGATAGGCTAGGGTTACTTAGACTAGACTCCGGCATTTTAGGACCTAAGGGGCGAAGCCCCGTGGTCTAGGGTCGGCACCGACCACCGAGCAAAACCCGACCAGGTCGGGTTGATTTGAGTTCCGACCAACTCAGCCTGAGATTATTTTTCTTAATTTAAGAAATAAACTGCACATATGTAATATTGATGATTATGTATGCAAAACATCAAGTATAAATAATTTAAGGCAATTACATGATCAGTTTCATTTTCGAAGCTCGAATTTTAGCTGCTTAAAAGCCCTTTCTTGCATTCGGGCGACTCGAATTATAGCAGCCTGGAATACCACTATTGCATTCGGGTGGCTCGAATTATAGCTGCTCCAGAAGGCATGTTGTGAATTCGAGGCAAGCTCGAAGGATAACCCCCTACTACCCTTGGTGGAAGTGACTGGTTTTGCGTGAATTCAGGTGGAAGCTGGTTGAATAATCAACAAGTTTCAATCAGTGTTATCGTTCCAATTACTACTGATGCTCCAACGGAAGAACCAGCAGTTACTGACGTTGCCGATCCAGTGACTACACAAGCACTTGATACTACTGATGGAACAGCAGCAGCTCCTAGTTCTCCAACAACGAGATCAAGTACAACAACTCCTTCTACAACAACATCTACAACAAAAACTACGACAAGAACAACGACAACGACGACGACAACGACCACTCCAACAACTACATCCCCGACCACATCAACCTCGACAACACCCACAACAACCTCGCCGACAACGACAGCTCCAAAAACGACAAGTCCGTCGACAACGACACCTGCTCAAGGTTTATTAAATTGAACTTATCACTTTCAAAAACTTTCATTACTAGAATTTCTACTCTAGAAATTTAAACAAAATTCAGAACCATCAGAAACTGGTCGCCTTACATTCAAAATGAACTCCTATGGAATCTATGGAGAATTGACGCTTGCCCAAACCGAAGATGACCCAAATAGATTTGTTGATGAAGCAAAGAATGTTGTGCTCTATTACACTGATACTTGGGATGCATGGTTTATTGTCCCAGTCGGAAAAGACATCACCAATGTGTTTTGTTATGCGATAACGACCGTTAAAGGAACGTGTTTGAAATCAGGGGCCTTTATATAGTTTCAGCCAATTGTAAACATTTTCAAAGAGAACTTCGTCGACAATATAACAAGTATGGTTTGTAAAAACTTTCGAGAGAATTCAATTCAATGGATACGACAAGATATTGGCCTTGAAGTCATTTCGTCTGGTTCTGCCATTGTTACAACTGAAGCTGCTGGTGAAGAATGTAATCCTGAATGCGAACCATCTTTCAGCTTCGACATTCCAAAATGTAGGTGCACTTTATTTTCAAGAGATCACAAAATTTTTTCTAGATGGAAGAGTGACAATGACAGAGATTTTCGAGGGCTCAGATGAATATTTTGAGAATGATAAAAACATTTTCCTTTACTACGATAACAAGTACAAGTCCTGGATTGTCGCTGAGCAACCTCATGAAGTCAGTAAATTCCTTTGCTACAGTCAAATCTTGAAAGAAGAGCCGCTAAAGAATATGGAAGGCAACATCAGCTGCAAGAATCCTGCTTGGGGAAGGCCCTGGAAGGACTTCAATTTCACAAACAATGAATGCCGAAGTTGTACGACAACACCGACGAGAGCTTCAACTACAACCGTTACTTCAACAACAAAGACGGCAGCTCCTTCTGCTACGACAGGAGCAGCCGTTTCAACAGCCTCTCCTTCATCAACATCAACAACAACCTCAACCTCTACTTCAACAAGAGCAACGACAACAACAACTTCGACAACAACAACGACAACGACCGCCACAACAACAACAAGAACAACAACAAGAACAACAACTACCACGACGACAACTCCTGGGCCAATGCAATTCATTTTGAATATTCCTTCTAGTTCTGCCCGTGAAAGAAAACGATTCCGATTTGTCGAAACCGAGGAAGAATATGTCTACGTCGACGAAGACGCTCAAATGAAGGTAAAACATAATTGAATATGAGTTACTTAATCTACTTTCAGATCTACTTCGATGTCAATTACATGGCCTGGATCATTCTCCCTCTCAAAGCTAGAGATATCTTCTCGATGATCTGCTTCAATTCAAAGGTGAACGGCGAAGGTTTCCTCGGTCGCGTCGATTACTTAGAGTGCGTCGGCGACAGTGCAAACACCTGGGAACGAGTCGACATATCTACAATGGAGATTGATAGAAATTTCGTGGAAACAACAACAACAACTTCGACAACAACAACAGCGACATCATCAACAACACCGACAACGGAAGTGCCGACAACTGCTTGTACAGTCTGCGAGGAGAAATTTAAAATGAGCATTCCGGGAAAAACCATCATTTTGAAAAAGGTTGAAGATAATCTTTATGAACAGACTAGAAACGGAGATTTGGAAGTCTCATGGCTTCCGTACTACAAAGGCTGGGCTTTGAAGCCAAAAGGCACCCAAGGAATGGTTCAGTCTTGAATTTTGTTATGGAGACTTGTATAATAATTTTGTTATAATAATTTTGAACCAAAACAGTTTCGGCTCTTCTTTGTTTCGAATTCGGCGATCATATTGGACAACCTGCCCGGCCAGTTTCGCCTTTTACCGAAAGTGTTACAAAAATGACATGTCTAGACAACGATGTCTGGGGCGAGCATCAAATCAACCTTACTAACATTCCCTGCCAATGCTAAAGCCTCAAAATGAGACTGACTCTCCCTCTGTTACATAAAATAAACACCGTCTGTCTTTAAATAGACCTCTTTGAAAACTTTTTTTTCTTATATTTATCGGCGGACTTGTGCGACATTCTCGCAATGGCAGACCATAAGCAAAATGCTGCAATTATTCATTAACAATCACAGGTTTGATTGTAGAACGTTTTCGATTTTATTTCAAATCATCATCAGTACTCTGTTTATGAGAAAGCGAACTTACGCTAACTTATTCATTAACATCATAAGCCTGGCAATGAGTTAAAATTTTTACGGTCGAGATCGCAAACTTCGTCTTATGGTCAGATACTTGTTAGACTTCGGCTTAAAACGAGTAGACCACTTCGAAAACTTGTACTTCTAATATTTGTTGGCCGCCTTGGGCAATTCATTATTGCAGGGAATGCACAGCAGACCAGTCCTTCGCATCATTTTTGTCAAATGCAGCAAATGAGAGAAAAGAATAAGCTTTTGCTTTTTTTCTTCCTTTTTTCAGCTTCAAAAGCGCAAACGACCGCTTGTGTTCAAACTTATTACCAAGAAGAGACTTGCTGCACTCCATCGACAAACACATGTGGAATAAACCCGAGAATTAACGGTGGCACAGAAACATTCGCGAGAGAATGGCCTTGGATTGCACATATCACTTTTGTCGACCGACCAAATATTTACTGTAGAGGAGCATTTGTGTCGCAGAACAAGATCATTACTGCTTATCATTGTGTCAATGATTACATAAAAAGGAAACATTTTTTAATTGTCGGAGCCGGCATTGATTACACTCACGGTGCCAATTCTGCGTATGAAAAACTAGTTCAAGGGTATCGAGTCGATTCCATCATTATTCCAGATGGCGCTGTTGCCACGTCCTGGCGCGATCATGATATAGCGATTTTGGCAGTGACGGAAGTCAATTTCCGAGAAAACAGCTTTGAAGTAACCCCAATTTGCCTTCCACAAGAAGAAAATCCAGAATCAGGAAGAAACTGCTTCCTACTCAGATATGGACATGTTCATACAGGTGGATTAATAATTAATACTGAAATGCTTAGGGAAGCAAGAGTTTCAATCGTCAGTGATGAAACTTGTCAAGCCCATTATTATGGAGGAGCTAATTACTTGAACGAGCCTGTTCAAATTTGCGCGAGATTCGAAGACGGTGGGATGGACGTTTTTCAAGAGGATTCTGGCGGGCCTTTGATGTGTCAGAGGGCAAACAGCTGCGAGTGGTATCTAGCAGGGGTTTACTCATGGGGAGACGGCACTTTTGGAGTTTACGCCGAAGTAGGAGCTTTTGCCGACTGGATTCATGAGAATACCGGTATTTCAAAAGCACCAGCGGCAGAAAACTCACCAGCACCAAAAACACCACCAGCACCACCAGCACCAGAAGAAGAACCGGCACCAGAAGCACCACCAGCGCCACCAGCACCACCTGCAGAGCCAGCCCCGGAAGTACCACCAGCACCAGAAAATCCGCCCGCCTCGGAGAATTCGTTGCCATCAGGATCTCGATTTGAGAGACTGCGAGATCGAATCCGACGAATACTCAAGAAATTAATTCTTTTTTCTTTCATCCATCAAAGATTCACTAAACAACACCGACAAACACTTCCTCGCCAGCGACCTTTTCAAGTTCAACCTCAATAAAAACCAAACTTTCAATATTTCCTTTTCAATATTTCAGAGAATAAAATAGAGGCATTTTATCTTTTCTTTGGTCAAAGCATTTCTGTGATATAATTATATTATATATTTATTAAATATGTTCAAAATACAAACATAGTGAAGAAAGATAGAATAAATACAGACAAGAGTAATGGTCAAAATTTAAATAAGTACATATTAATTTGGCGTTCGATTGATTCTGTTCAGGGCAGGTGTAGATACGTTGAAATTGCATAAAAGAGCATCAATAAATAGTATTTTCAACTACCAGTCCCAATGATCGTAGTTGTCGCCCGTGAACTTTGTCTCCAGATCTTTCACAAAAGGCTGAAAAAGGGGGTTGAAAAAGATGATAAAGGAAAAAAGTCTTACATTGAAAAACTTTCTGATTCTTCTCTTGAGCTCCGTCGGAAGCGATTTATCCTTCGATCTTCCCTTACTCGACCCAAGGCAGAAGCTTTCTCGGGCACTTTCTACTGGCGGCTTCATACAGAAATACCCTGAAATTGACTATGAAAGATTTCGTAAAGGAAAAAAGTACCTTTTTCATCGTCAAAATAGAAGTTTTCTTCGGTAATCAATTGCGGCACCCCGGCGAAATCAGCAACTCTTCTGAGCGACATTCCAGGGTTTTCAATCAACTCCGTCGCATCCAAATACAGCATTTGATCTTGAATTTTCCGCATGAAGATAAAGAGGACTTTGATTCAAACCTTGTGTAAAGTAATGCAGCCAAGTATTGATATGCGTCGAGTAGAGGGATCCAGTAAGAACAGCATCAGGAATTCGCAGCGGAAAGACTCGACCCTTCGTTCCGGGCTTCAAATCCCAGCGGGTGAAATAATCAGCAACTGCAGCTCGGATTTCGTCGTCGGTCATTTCGTCGATGTCCTTGTCTTTTCCGAGGAGATTGCCAAACGCCATCTCGACGGTTTTTTCGAAGGCTTCTTCTTTTGTGATGTCAGCGAAGTTTTCTAGAATTTCAATCTCAGATCTGGTCGCTAAGAGATAGAAAAACGGGGTCTGGAACCGTAAAAAATTTCGACAAATTTTGCGTGGAAATTTTCAACCAATCAAAAGCCTTGATACAGCAAACCGGCCAATCAGCAGCCGAGAAGCCGCCCACTCAAATTTTGTCGAAATTTTTTTGTCGCTTCCAGACACCATCCCAAAAAAACGTACCTTGAAGAAACTCAAAACCAGGTTGAGGTCCTCCAACGCCTCCTTGACCGACTTGCTGGACCGTGAACATGTGCAGAAAATGCGAAAATGCTCTTCTGACCGGATCGCACAAGACATGAACAAATTTGATGTCCTTTGCATTTTCCAGTTTTGAAATTCTCTCCGGAATAAACGGCCGGTCAAAGTAATCAGGGGTCTTTTCATAGCAAACTTCGTCCTTGAACGTCAGCGGCATTTCATCGTGGTACCATTGGTAGCCTTTCGCCCAGTTGGTTGGTCGGTTGAAGAAATGACGCTCGCCGGGGGTGTCCTGGAACCAAGTGTGGTAGTTCATGAAGATTTTCAAAGCAGTGGTTCCGCATTTTTTTGCCCCTGAGTTTTTTAAAGACCTGTTTTTTGATGTTTCATTACCTGTGATGATGAGATCTGGATATCTAACTGTAGGTTCTTCATCGCCGTGATTTTTCTGTCGTTGTCTGTTCATTCCGACTTTGTACCAATCAGCGTATTTGGCCTTTACTTCTTGCGGGACGGTTAATTCGTCCATTGTCGGCCAGACAACGTCTCCGACGTATTCTTTGTTTTCTTGATTTTGGCTTCAAAAATCATAAGGGTAAATATAGATCAAAAAATTTTAAGTTTCATCAAAATATATTTTCGAGATTACCAATATTCATAATCTATTAATCATTCAATAAACGATTGAATCTTCCTAATAATCTTCTAAAGCCATTCCTGTAAGCTTAGCCTTCACTGGCGGCAGAACCTTCTTCTGCTTCACCTCAACTTGTGCTTCATCTTGCAGCATCATTTCGTGCTGTTTCAATTCTCCTCCGGCGAACATCGCTTTTGGCGGCTCCGTCGGCGCTGGTGGTGTAGGTGGAGCTGCAGGTGCTTGCTCAACAACGGGCTGGACAGGCGCAGCAGGAGCAGCGGCGGCAACTGGGGTGTCAACGGCGGCAACTTGAGCAGCTGGGGCCGCTGGGGCAACGGGTTGGGCAGCGCCAGCGACGGGGACTGGTGCGGCGGGGGCAACAGGAGCTGCAGCAGCGATCGGTTCAGCAGGGGCGACGGGCTGGGCTGGAGCAACGGGGGCTGCGGGGGCGGCTGGAACTGCTGGGGCAGCAGGAGCGGCGGGGGCAACGGGTTGGGCGGGAACTTCTTGGGCAACTGGAGCAGGTTGAGGATATCCTGAATAGATTTATGATGGAGGAAATAAGCTAGCGAATCAAAAGCCTCAAATTTCATCTTCGAAATTTTAGGATGAAAATTATTTGTCAACAAATCAAATAAACACTTCGAAGTCGAACCGTTTATTCGCTTCTTACCTTGATTGAAGGCCTGTGCTTCGGCGCTTGGAACAAAGCTCTGAAGAAATTGTTGAAAGTATCTCCGATAGGGGTCTGATTTTGTTACCATGTGAGCTCCGTCCACGGTCAGTTCTGGCTGCAGAATCTCGCCGTAGAGCGACATTGGCTGCTGCTGCGCTTGGTAGGCTAGGTATTGCGCGTCGTAGTCGTAAGCTGCGTAGTAGTAGTCGCGCAGTTGCTGCCAGGGTGTCAAATCGCGGGGGATCGAGAAGGGATCGCGCGCCACCGCCCACGCTCGATCCCAAGTCTGAAGGGATCGCTCGCGCGCTTTTTGAACGGAAAGGGATCGCGGCGAAAATAGCAGAGCAAACGCGCGGGCTAGCGCCAGGCTTCATGCGTGGAATTTTCTCCGATCAAGCTCGCGCCGCTTTTCAAAAACTCAGAACTCTTCGTTATTGTCTCAAATTTTATGAATTTTTCAGATCTAGTGTAGTTTTTTCTCCTCTTTTTTCTGATTAAAATTAAACTCATGTTCAAATTAAGTTTAATAAGTTTGTCTGATTATATTATTTAAAAAAAGAAAGAAATTACATCATTGTCTGTCGACAAAAGGGACAGCGAAAATGAGGAGGAAGGCTTCTTTTGTGACACGCCAAGCACATCGGTGGACACTTTTCGCATTGATTCCATTCGCTATTGCCTGATGAGCCCTTGCGCAAAATTTCTTCATTGTTTCGGTTTCAAAAGCACCAATTGAAAGACCATCGTTCGCAACAACTTCTGCGGCGATTTCCTCAAGCTCTTCGGCGTCGGTTGTAATTGAACGATGGTGTTCTTGGATGTGCCGTTTCACGTAGTAGTCAGTCGCATGGCTCGCTTTCGCCAAATTGCCTCGAATGCCAAAGAAAACCTATAAAAGAGTTAATTTTACTTGACTGGTCGTTTTTTAACATTAAAACGGCTAATTTTTTCTCACTACCGATCAATTTTTACATGAAAGGGTCAATTTTTACATGAAAAAGGTCAAATTTTACATGAAAAAGATCAAATTTTACATAAAAAGGGTCAATTTTTACATGAAATGCGTCAAATTTCACATGAAAAAGGTCAATTTTTACATGGAAAGGGGTCAATTTTTACATGAAAAAGGTTAATTTTAACTCAAATCTGGTCAATTTTTTCTTACCTTATGTTTGTATTCAGCATTAGTGCAGAAGGGGCTCCGGCAAATGAGATATGGCGTCGGCGTCTGGTCTGACTTCGTGATTTTCTCTAGTTTGAAATCTGCTGTGTAATTGTGATGGATCTCTGAAGTGCAAACGAGCTTCTCATCTTCTTCTAGAATCTCTACAATTTTCTTGAACTCATCTTTGGTTTTTTTCTTTTTCTCAAATGGAGTAGATGGCGGAGAAAGCAAAGGACCTTCATCAAATTGGCCGTTTTTGACTCATATTTACGAAAAAAATTCATTTTTGACGGACTTTATATTGACAGTACATCTGGAAAGATGGCGTCCTTCTGCAGATGGACTGATTTCCGATCATTAGTAAAGTATCTGAGTAATACCCCGCTGCGAAAATCAGATATGAAGGGTTTATTTCCAAGCAGCTGAAGATGAAATCACAGAAAAGACGTGAAAAGACTCGAGGTACCAACCAGCTGTGATGAAGTCAGAATCATGGTGAATTTTTACATGAATAATATTATTTTTTTAATTGAATAACCCAAAGTCGGATTAATTATGGCATAATTTTTCTTAGTATTTTCGTTAAAAAAGTAAGGATTATTATATGTTGATCTTTTTTTGCATTAAAAATTGATTGTTATTGAATTTTTACAAGGTCGCTCGTTTTCGGAATTTTAAGATCCCTTGCGCGAAGGGATATCCCACGCGCGAAGGGATCGGCGCGATCCCTTTGTTTATGTGAGCGCTCCCTTCTCGTTGCCTCTCGCTGCGAGGCGATCCCTTACACCGTGGGATCGAAACGGCGCTGTGGCGCGCGATCCCTTCAAAATCCCCCGCGATTTGACACCCTGGTTGCTGCTCCCGCATTCTGTTTTGACGGTCATAATGGGCGAAGGCAAAGACTTTTTGAAGGTTTTTGGATGAAATAGAGAGATTTTTTTAGAAAAAAAAAATTCTGAAAAAATTGTCGAAATTTTTTTTTCTGTGAGAAAGAACCTTTCCTAGCGCTAGAACAACCAGAGGAGTGACAAAAGTCCTGAACATTCGCGCCCATCTTCTTCTCATCAACTGCGACTCGGTGTAGCCCCGTGGACCGGGCTTGAATCTCGTGTAAGTATCGCTATCTTTTAGCCGCGGATCAACGAATTTTGTTTGTTACAAAATAGATATTAATTCAAACATCCTCTCTTTTCTGCAATTTTTCGACGAAGCGAAGAAAAAATTTTAAATGAAGAATAATTTGCGAGAATAATGAGCTGTCACTGTCAGTCGGAAAGTTTATCTCGGGGCAGAGCAAAATTCAGAAATGACAAAAATAGATTTTCAACATGTTCCCAAAAAAAGAATTTCAGATATATTTTAGAGAAACCGTATTTTTATTTGAACAAATTCATTTTGATATTTTGGCCGTGAATGGCATAAGTGATTAATGACGTTAAAAAATTGAAAAGTTTCCGTACAGTTTAAGGGTGTCAGTCCATTAATAAATGAAACTCAATTTTATTTATTCTTAATTCTGTCGATTTTTCTTTATTTTTAACTCATTTCTATAAATATAATAAAAATATAAGTAATATTAATATATTGCCAAGTCGTTGATTACACCCTTGAAAGATCATTCAGAGCCGTTGCGCCTTATCATAATCCGAAAAGAGCGTGGCGCGCTTCTTTTTACTCCTCCAAAATCGTAATTTTCCCATGAGAGAAGTGGCGAAAAACGCCTGCTGTCGGCTTTTCTATTTCCTGAATTTTTGATCCTATCCTGATGCTGCTTGCATCTCCGCTAATCTTCTCTCAAACATGAAGTTCGTCTCTTCTCTTATCACTCTTTCTCGCCACTCGCGTGCGCCATCTCGTGACAGAAGGGAAAGTCGAAAGTTACGAAGAAAGTAAAAATTGTAACGAAGCGTTTTGATACGACGGGGATTCACCGCGCGGTCAGAGTCCGGTACAGCCGCAGGCCCTTTCAGTCCCAATTGAGCTACCCGGCTCAGCACTGATCCCCTCAAGTCAAAAACGAAACACTGACGCGCATAATAACACTAAGCCCTTTTTTGGGCAGATTTGAGGAAATTCTTGGTTCAATGCCAGGAAAATTTAAAATTATCATTATTTTTCTTGGCAAAATAATTAATAAGACAAAAAATCATAAAAAAGCCATGAAAACTAGCAGCTGTTTTTCTAAAGTCAATAATTGTTGAAAATAAATTCGGCGGGCAATTTTCGATTTTTTCGAAATTTTTTTCACATCATTTTTTTGAAATGAAAAATAAAGCAGTGAATAAAACGAGCGAAAAATCTCGGGAACCAAAAGATTGGAGCTTCAAAAAAGGTTTACTTGACAAAATTATTCTTTGTTGACCTTTTCTTATTCAGCATATTTGCCATATCTTGCGACTTATTTGCTGTGGGTGCTTTTTCTCCTCCGATTTGCTGCAAAAGAAGGCTTCTTTGTGAATTTTCGAGGACCAAAGCCAAATTTCCGACCTGGACTGTAATTGTTTCTTCCCTGTAATTGCTCATGCAATTAAATAAATTAGCAAAAAGAACAAAGCGTCGATTGAATTGTATATTTGCGTTTCTATGAAACACGGAAAAAGTGAGCAAACGAACAAAAGAAAAAATACTCAAAAAGAAAAAATGGGTTCGTCTTCGTCAAAAAACACTGCAGACCCGCTGAATTCAACCCTGCCAGAGCTAGAATCAGAGCAAGCATTTGCAAAGAACAAGAGACAGCTAGAACCAGATGTGATTGGAGCTAAACTAGCAGCCAAAGCGCAAGTCGTTGCTATGTTTGGACAAGGTATCAAGAGGAAGATTCTTTTTTTAGTTCATTTCTAGATGCGATCTACAAAGACCAGCAAGAAAAAGACCAACCTCCTGTTTATCGCCACCATCCTTCCCCTGTCAAAATCACTCCAGCAAAACCTGATGGGAAGTTCTACTTCGTCTCCGTCGGCTCTAGAAGGGTAAGGTTTTCAAAGCCAAAATCTTCCTCATCCTTCTTCTTTTTTAGGTTCAACTGCCGATGTACGGAAAAGACCTTGAATTCTCCGAAAAGGTGTTCAAGAAAGAAAACGGAATTGAAGACAACGAAGAGGAGGAGGACCAGAAAGAAGAAGAGCCATTACCGATTGAAGAATCCAAAGCAACAAAAACAGAAGAAATACAAACTCTTCAGATTGAGAAAGAAAACTCTAAAGTCAGCTTCAACTTGGAAAATGAAATGATCTCTCCCCGAGACCCAGAAGAAATGGACTTTCCGATTGTCCCGGAAAATGAGCCGGAAATGCCAGAAATTTCGAAAGAAAACTCGAAAATCTCGGATTCGCTTGAAGAATCTCATCCTATTCCCATTCTTGTTGCTTGAAATAAACAACTTATTCATTGATTTCAAGAATTTTGATCTGGTTATCTTTAAAAAAGCTTTGCTTTTTTCTGAATTTAATTGAATCCAACCAAAAAACGGCTCTGAAAAGAGCAGAGCACAGCTAGTGACATTCAAAAAGGAACGAAAACGGAGCTCAAGCTGTCCAACTGTCAGACAAACACTCGTGACGACGGTTCTTATAAGCGCACGCTCTTTCGGTTTTTCCTCAGAATAGCTTTGTCTCTTTCAGAGATCACTCGGTATGGTTATCGAAGAAGTAAATGAGAGAACGGAGACTCCGATTTTTCGGACCAAAGTCCAGGTGAATAGGCTTTGGTAAGGAAAAAGACTTATTTTTAAAGTGTCTTGATTGCGACTGCATCGGTGTCTTGAGAAAATCAGGGGAAAGTGTTTATTTATTTCCCGAAGAAGTGTTGACAACTCGAAGCATTCACACTCGAAAGCGAGATTTGAAAAAGGAGAAAACATGGAAGAAGAAAGCGGCCGCGCAACTGAGCTTTGCCAAGCACGGATTTTCGACCATGCTTCAAATGGGCTCCTATCTCAGTTCTGGCTCCCTGTTTTGGATAACTGTCATGCTTCTTGGTATTTTTCATAAAATTAATAAATTGGTCCTATTTCTTTTGATGATTTCAAAAAACTTTTTGTGGGGCCGGAAATCGTAAAAAAACTGCAAGTGCAGTTTTCTTTAGCTCGTCGAGACGAGTCGAATGATAGGTCTAACTCTTGATAACTCTAAGGATTGACCGGTTTACCGGCTGGTTACCGGAAATTACGTTGTCACCGGCCGTTTTTGTTCTAGAAGTGGTAAACAGATGATCGACCCAGGAAATTTTTCCTTATAGTCAGTTCTACTGCAGGCTAAAAGATGAGAGTCGTATCATTACTCCGAAGAGAGTTATCACTAAAAACAGTAAATTTTGCATGAATTTCGTTGTCGCTGCGCGTTCCTGATTTCTAGTCCCATTTCCGCCAAAAATAGTATTTCAGTGATAACTCTCTTCGGAGTAAGGATACGACTCTCATCTTTTAGCCTGCAGTAGAACTGACTATAAGGAACAATTTCCTGAGTCGACCATCTGTTTACCACTTCTATAACAAAAACGGCCGGTGACAACGTAATTTCCGGTAACCAGCTGGTAAACCGGTAAATCCTTAGAGTTATCAAGAGTTAGACCTATCATTCGACTCGTCTCGACAAGCTAAAGAAAACTGCACTTGCAGTTTTTTACGATTTCCGGCTCCACAAAAGTTTTTTGAAATCATCTATATAGCGAATCTGCATTCTCTTGAAAAATCCCGCGCGGTGACGACTTTTCTGACTTCGACTTGCAACCGAAATTACAAGGAATGCGTTCGAATCGCCGAAATGGATATCTGCGGGCATTTGCTGAAGCAATGTTTCGAAACTGAAGAATTTACGCTCCCGGAGCCGGTTTCTCAGATCGAAAACGCCAACGCTGCGCCGCTTGACTTTTCCGAAGAGGAGAACGAAGTCAATCTTCGTCGCTGTCGGAAGAAACAGTTTTACGACCAGAAGATCTGCCGCCATCTCTGCTCTGAAACGCTTGTCTTGCAATCAACAAGGACCAACCCAATCTCGCCTTGCGAATCGATGTGTTTTCAACTGACAACTGCCTCCGAAGGCGCTGGGGAGATTTGTCCATTTCAGGAGTATTGTCCGAAGGGATGTCCTTGTCCTCATTACGAGTGCGAGAAATTTGAATCGCGTCAGAAAATGATCCCTGTTTTTGATCTTCTTAAAGAAAGTGAAATGTCAGCGACAATGATGGCTTCGTCGACAATGTCAAACTCCACGACGTCAACGTCAAATTCGTTCATAATTTCTACGAGCTGCGAAAATATTGTTCCATCCAAATCTGATGAACGGATTACTCGGCGTTGGGATGATCCTCCGAATAATCGTAAAGAATTAGTAAAGCCGTTACCGATTATGTTAGCGGATTTAGAGGGAAATGCTCGAGGAATTAACGTCCCAGACTGCTTTTACAATTATGAATGTTTTTCACGATAAATTCGTTTTATAACGTAAAAATTTATTTTAGGGTAATAGCCTATTAGTAATAGGCTATGAGTCATAGCTATTTTCCGTTACTAACAGTTTCATCAAAAAGACATGAAAAGTCAATTGGCGCCACTTTTCTCCATGGCGAGCACTATTTGATAGATGCAGTGGGAAATTTAATGAGATTGGCAGAAGATGATAATGCCCCGATATTCATTGAAAATCGACTTAAAAATGTGTAAGAATATTCCCTAGTTTCATTTTTTTATAAAAGTGGTTTCTTCGTCTTTCACTTTGGATCGTCGATCGGGACTCATCAAATTGAAATTCAAACCGAAGAAAAAGAAAGAAAAGTGTTTTCAGTCGTCGTCATCTGAAAAAGGTCAAAAATAACAAATTGTTATTAACAATGACCGTTTTTATTTTTAACATGAGTAAAAATTCGAGGAGAATTTTTGACCAGTTAAAGCCGCCCAACTGCCCGGGACGACAAATGCTTCTACTACGCCCCCGATTACAATGCGAGGCGATTCGAAGAGGCTCAAGGTTACATTCCCATCAATCACATTAACGGCAAAGTGTCATCGATCAGCTTCAAAGGAGTTTTTCACTTGATGAGCGTCAAGCTGGGAGATAACTATATCAGGTTGTCGACGACTCTTTCTTTAAACAGAATAAGTGAGCGCGAGGAATTGGAGAAAGGCTGGAAAAAGGCGAATTTGGAGTTCCGGCTGAGCTGAGAGATCTTGATTTTGTCCACGTGGTTCCTCTGGAACGAGTTAAAATTTGTGATGATTGACTTTGATTTAAACTTTTTTTAACCGAAATAAGATCGATGTGGATAGACTACTTCTGATTCTGGTGACAAGAAGTATCGATCTCTCAAATACGCTTTACTCGGTGTTGCTGGAGGCAGAAGGAAAGTTTTTGACTCTTGGTCGCGAATGGGTTGGCTCGCTTGATAAATACGAAGAAAAATCTTTCTGCTATTCGAAATTATTTGCTTTTGATGGCTGGTACACGGGTCAATCGGGCTATAACAACGACGAGTGCGAATACTACGCAAACGGAGTCGTCAACGACGAGAAAATCTTCATTCAGAATTACCTTTTCGATTTTTCATTCGAAGTCAAGTTCTATTTCGGAAAGGATTTATTTTTTTTCGAATTTGATAGGTCGGAAGTGCCTCCGTTTTGTTGTGGTCCTGCTCTACTCTCTAGTGTAACTGTAGCCTCTAGATGACACGAAAATGGTAGCTTAGGTGTTGTATTTCAGTTAGGTTAAAACTGACTTGTGTTGAGTAAACACTGAATTATGTTATGGTTGCACAGACTGAACGCAGTGGAAAAGCGGCGAGCGCCTCCAGATCTCTGTCAGATCGAACGGCTTCTTGCTGACCTAACAGCTTCTCAGTCTTCGAAGTCTTCTGACGATTGGAGACTCTAGAATTGAAGAAAGAAGTGTAGAGATGATCCAGCGTAAGATGTCCAATAGGAGTAGAGATGAAAGCAGTGGTGAGCCAAGGGTTTCAATTCATTTTTCATTCGAAGTCAAGTTCTTTTTCGGAAGTGCCTCCACTCTGTTGTGGTCCTGCTCTACTATCTAACTGTTGCCTCTAGATAACACGTAAAAGGGTATTTTTGGTGTTGCAAAGTCGGAGTCCAATATAGGGGACACCAAGATAAGGGACTTTTTGGCTCAAAATGCCGAATATCAGCGACAGACAAAAATCAAATTTATGGGACTTTTTTCGAAAATTTTGAAGCAAAAAAAGTCCCTTATACGGACCCCAACTATAGTCCAGTTAGGTGAACACTGACTTGTGTTGAATTGTACCGGTAGGCTACCGGGGACTCCCAGTACCAATTTTTGAATGGCAAAATTTTAGTCAGCCAGGAATGCCCGCTCCGCGGGATCTGTGGTAAGAAACTTACTGATTCGGACAGGATACACTTCTATTTACCCGCCTACCATTGTTCCGACTGAAATATTTCGTTATAATATCACTCGAAAAGCCGAAATTGGTACTCCCAGTACAAAAATTGGTACTGTCAGTACCAAAAAGCTTTGGTACTGCGAGTCCCCGACGCCCGAATTGTAATATGGTTGCACAGACTGAATGCAGTTGAAAAGCGGCAAGCGCCTCCAGTTCTCTATCAGATCTAACGGCTTCTTTCTGACCTTACAAAGGTTAAAAATTTCAATCAAATTATAAATTCTTTTGCAAGACCTTCTCGAAATCGAGTTCGTCCAGCAACCGGCAAGAAGACAAATGTTCGTCACGAGCAATCCATTTTTTGCGTTTCACGACGATGTTTTTCCTGCTTTTGCTAAGAACGCTGTCGCTCAGCCGCGATATCCACGGAGTTTCGGACAATCAACGATCATTCCGGATAAATTTTTTACTTCTCTCGCAGAATTGAATCATATTTCTACATTGGAGATGAAATTAAATGGAATAGAAAAATTTGAACTCGAAATGGTCTTTCAAAAGAAATCGCCAATTTTTGAAGAAATAAAAATACTTGAATTGAGTTTCTTTGATGGATCAACTCTTCTCAGCTTTGGTGTTTCTTCAAATTTTTCTCTTTGGATTGATTCCGATTATCTTGAATCTCGCTCATCTTTGGAAACGAATATCACTGAAACATCGACGATTAAATTACATTTTAATTCATACAGTTCAACGGAAACTTCTTTGCAAATTATCAAGGGAAGGTTAAATAAAATATACACGCTTAGCTAAATCGATAAATAATGAACCAGAAAAAGAGTCAAAAGAAAAACCAAGAACTATGGAATATGAAAATGAGTGGTCTTCAAAATTTGAATAGTAAAAAGATGCGGATCTTCAAGTTTGATCATCGCGCAGAAATCAAGAATTTTCATTTATCTTATGAAAAGGCAATTTTGGTTATGGGTAGGGCCGACGATAAAAAATTCAAAATTAAGA